TAACACATTTAAGCGGATTACAATTTAATATTTCTCACATTGTTTATCCACATTTGTTTGTTTTTGCCAGTTTTGTGCCCAGGGAGGTAGAACCTTTCCCCTTGATAGGTGAGGAGAATTTAACTTAGACTGTCTCTGACTGGATAGCACACATGGGTTAATTAGCGCTGACAACAGCGACAACAACAAAGTTGATGACTCTTTTTGTACATTTAATTGTGGCAATTAATGTGGAAGACGGTAAAAGGTAAAAAAGGAGAAAGCCAACAGGAAGAAGTTCTACAAATTATCAACAATTTGTTAGAAATGTTGATGGATAGATGGGAAGGGTCTTCAAGATATGAGGGAGAAAGGGATTGAAAATGGGAGTAATAAGGATCTTAAAGGTGCTTAAATGGGTAAGGTGAGGGAGATATGGTTTAATAAGGAGGTTTTATGCCTAGAATCTGGAACTATAGCCTAAACGATGAAGTTTTTCTTACAAAAACCCTTCCCTGACTAAAACCTCAACCTCCCTTCAATTAACCATATGATAATCTCTCTTACCCCTACCAAAGTAATACCCCTCCTCCCCTTTATGACAAATTTATCAATTCATTAATCAATTCATAACCCAATTGAGAATGGAACGCCGAACTCGTGATACGCGACTAATACCATAATTTCCAGCATGTTTACACAATCCATCTGGCTATATTCCAGCAAACCAAACAGATAGAGCGACGTCTGAAGGAAGGGGGATCCATTGGTGGTGGTGGTGGTTAGGGGAGCGAGAGACAGTCGCGGAGCAAACACAAAACGTCCAAGAGCAATCAGGAATTTCCAACTTGGCTGCCATCAATCCATAAACGAACCAAAGAAAATCCGTGCGTGCGTCCACTGAATAAACAAGGGAAAAAGGACATCGAAAAGGAGGCATTCGGAGAGTAGAAAAGATATAAAAAGGATATATTTTCACGTTCTGAATTTCAATTTTGATAGATATTTTCAAAGGGTATTTAAAAGGGCTAAACTTTTTTGATGAGGATAATATGAAAAACTTAAAAATCTTATAATCTTTTGTTATCCAAAGTTTAAAGCAAATTTGAAATAAATATAAAGTCACATTTTCAGAGAAAATCTCCCTTAAAATCCCCCATTTCCTGGCGAAATCGTATCGCAGAATATTCCTCACATAAAGTCAATGTCCTGGGCAGTGCCAAAATGATTTCGATTTAATCGTTAGGAAATTTTTGCGACAGCCAGAACAATTCCTCTATCAAAGCTAATTGCTCGGAGCATTAGGCAAAGAAGAAAAGAGAGATTGGATAAGGGGGAAGGAAAAACGAGAACGAGAGGAAACGATTTGTAAAGGGAAATTGTCACCATATGCGTCAACACGCAATAATTCACCAGAAAAATAATCCAAACAATTGACCAGACTCCGTCACATTTCCTCCCGCTCCGTCTCTCTCTCTAATGGCGAGGGTGTGTCCTTTTGCTTTTTCCCTACGCCTCTGTCTCTGGATTTTCCTATGCCTGCAGCAAGTGTACGTACAGCCAGCCCCTCTAGCCCACTTCCTAAATAATGCCCCCGCTGCCACCCCCTCTGCAACGCTCTTTTGGTGTTTTGGTGCTAATTGAATTCATTGCTGCGTTGATCAAGTGCTGCCAAACAACAACAAATCATCCCCAGAGGCTAATGATACCAAACGACTGAAGCCAAACTCAACTTCCAAGTGTATGGTTTGGGAGGAGGAGGCGGTATGGGTCTGCTATGGGTTATGGGGTGGCCAAGAGAGGGTTGCTCGTCTGGTTTTTGGACCAACTGCGGACAACTCCGTTTCCTCATAGAGTAGAGTATCTCTCCCTGTTGCTGGTATTGCCTCTCTGCGTTAAATGAAATTAGAAAACCTTATGTTGAGTTAATTAGCAAATTTAACGGGGCAATGAGGGGGAGAAAGTACTGCAGCAGGTTGTCAGGAAGAGATTTTCGGAGTGCTTTATTTATATCAAGTGGGTGTTGAGAGGAGATTCTTGGGGTTTATTAAAATGTTTAAGACAATTTCACTAGAAAAGATGGTAATTACAAGGCTTTCACTTTTCTAAGAACCTTTAGAATATTCCTGTGAAGTCTGAAAATATCACCTTTAGATATGACCTTTCAATAACAACTCCCAAAACTAACTAAAATCACCATATTTACCATGAAAACCATCAGTTATTGTCCCTCAATAAGCGCATATGCATTTCCCCCATCAATTAGAAAGGATTTGCCCAGCGCGGCAGCAATTAAAAATGGAATGCCGCCCATCAATTGTGATATCAATCGTAGCCAATCAATAGGGCACCACAGCATCCTGACCCTCGTATCCTACTTCCTTTCTCCTCTTCCTCATTCAGCTGACAGAGTAAACAGCCATTAGCTAGCTGGCTAACGAGCAATAACCGCTTATATGCACCCACCCCCTACTGCGATATCCAGACAAATGCAAATTTGACAATAATAAAATCCAACATATGACAATAATCGCACATATTTGACAATAAAATCGAAAATCGAGGAAAATTCGATTGAATATTAGCGTAAAAGTTCACCGAATGCGAAAAATGTATGGCGAATGGCGAATGGGGAATAGCAGTGGGCAGTGGTGTATGCTAAATCAGTAAAGTAAACATCACATATAACAAAATTAAGCATAAAATGTGATCATCTGTGTTGACATGAAGATCAAATTGGAACCCCAGGACTAGAACTATAAATGCCATTCAACCCAAGAGGGTTGTCATGCACTGAAAAGAAAAATCTATGAAAATAAACTCCGTTTTGTAATCATAAAATAAGTTTAAATTGAAAATAAATCATTATAGACTGCCTATTAAGTAATAAGTTACAGTGTAAAACCTTTTTCTCTCAGTGCTGCTGATGACGTTGCCCAACAGGGGATAACCAAATTGTAACACCAGCAACAATGGCAACAAAGTCAGGCAAGGGAAAGGAGGTGGATTCCAGCGGACTAGGAAATTAACCCTCCAATTCATTCGGCAATTTTCTGGGTGTGTGCCTTCCTCAACTCTCGACGCTTGCCAATGTGTGTGTGTTTATAGAAATTATAACTCAAATTTAATTTGCAACAGATGCGACAATCAGCAGCAGGCCTAACGAAGGGCCAAACAGCATCCAGGATTCATCCCAAAAACCCTGTACCAGTTCTACGGTTTGATCTTTGTCACCCTTTTATGGTCTTTCATTGAAATTCTCCTGCTGCAAATTACCCGCTAATAGCTCAATGAATTGAAATTAGGGAGAATACGTTTCTGTTCCCCTTTCCCTTGTCCCTTTCCCTTCTCCCTTTCCCCTTGCCCCTTGGCTTTGTGTTCTGGTTCAACACATTTGGCCACTTCAAGGCAAATCAAAATAAAGCGCAGCATCAGCAACCGCAGTCCAGGGTGCACAGTGGGTTAAGTTCATGGGGAGAAAGGTTTCCAGAGTTCAGTTGGTTAGATAATGGGTTGATCTGAGGAAGTTGGAATAGTAAAATGTAATGAGAAAATGATTTTTAGGTCACTGCTAAGAGTTTATGTAACCGGAAAAGTTTTTTCTAATCTTTACAAATTTTGGTAGAATTTTGGTTTCTTTTCTGCGCTTTCTGCGTTTAAAGAAATATTATTTGTTAACTTTTATGTTATTTTAGTAACAAATATCCTTTAATATTCTATTGATGGATCTTCGATTTTAATATTTTTAATTTTTAATAATTATTAAAAAATATTTAAATCCTTTTTCCAACCACTGTACCACATATCCTCTTCTATACAAACGTGAACTTCTTTCATTTATTTAGATGAAAATGCGCTACGTGTTTTGGGTGGCAGACAGAGAAGCGAAATGAATTTTTATTAGCCCATCAAACAACAAGAAACTGCTGCATAATAACAACAATAACAACAACAACAACCAACAGATCAAACAACCAATAATAACAATATAAAGCATACTTCAAGGCAAACCAATAGCAACGATAAAAACCCGTAAAGTCCGTCCGTGTGCGCATCTATGAGATACTTGAGAATTACGTGATGAAGTGGACAGACAAGTTCTCTTCATAAGAATGGAAATGGGTTTCCCTGGGCATGGGAAATGCAATTGAAAGTGGTTAGAATAGAACAATTCCAAAATGCGTTCACACTTTATGTCATCTTTTATTAAGGGGGGAGAACATAATAGCGGTCGTTTGTAGCTAATTGTTAGGTAGTCGTATATATAGAATATGTTTTATAATACTAACAGAAAGAAGTTTCTAATCTCGAAGATAGTAACAAATATGTATCACCTTTTTTAGGAAGATTCCCGCCCAGCTGATCCAAGTTGAACTGAGTTCAAGCTGTTATCACAAAATAAACTGGAATGCTCCAACCTTTTTTCTTTGTATCGCTTGATAATAATACTTTATATGGCTCGTCTTTTGGCGGAAATTGAGGCTCACCATGATTTTTTCAATTTGCCATACGAAACGAACAAAACGAACAAAAAAAAAACCAAATCGAAATCAACAAGCAAAGTACTTTAGTTGTTTGCCTTAAGTTGGCTACATTTTAATTAGCGAAATAATTTTGAAGTGATACTATAAATTTAGTCATAATTATTGTCTCAGCAATTAACTTGATTATCTGCGCACATTTTGATTTATTTGCAACGATAAGAGCATTATCGCAAGGGTATAAGAGTTGGAATTTTTGATTGGTAGTAACGGCAATATGTGGCTAATAGCTCTTTCTTTATGGTCGCCGTGTATTTATAAATTCGACACCACAGACAGCTCTCAAAGCCTCAGCCGAACAAGATTAGATATTCACATGAATATATATTAAATATATATTTGTACTTGTAACCCAAATTTGTTCATAGAGTTTCTATTTCCTATAAATTTCTTGATTAATCATCATTTTTATTAATTGGTTTATGGCTTTATTTATGCTAACTGAAATTCTTTGAATTTAGCAGGGCTGCTTCATTACGCAAAAAGTTGAAATAGTAAAGAGGATTTATCTTTCTATATATCTTACCAGACCTTCATTTACTGACCCAATTTCCATATCTTTTCCGCCCCCCTAATATTTTCATTAATTACTTTTCTTTTCATGTTTTTTTTCGTAATTTATTTCTTTTCCATTTTTGATTTCGAAAATAAAATCCATACAATTAACTAATACAATCGCAATGCGATATTTTCTGTGTTTTTTTTTTACTCAATGGCTGTTGTTGTTGTTTTTGTTAATATTAAAGACTACAATTACATAATTACAATTATTTACAGAAATTACACAAGCAAATTGCAAATTACCAACTAAACTAATCGCATTTAATGTAATTTATTTACTTAGGCATTACTCATTTAGTTTAGATTTATGTTTATTTTGTTATTTATTTGCCTGTTCCTATTTAGATTTATGTTTATGTACATACAGGGGTTAAGGTGAGGGGAGGGTGCTAATGAATTTAATTTATATATATATATATTTTCTTTACATATATCACACAGTGCCAGGTTGTTGTGGTGGCACAAAATAAAAATAATAAATCGAAATCAAAGTGAAAAAAACCCAATGAAAGATTTCAAACGATTGCGCAAATCATACTTGGGGGCTAGAAAATACAGGGTGTCTCGTTTTTTGATGTTGGGACGGCGGTTTGATCGCGGCATGACTAGATTGGAGACCACTCCTCCAGGTGCTACTCCTACTCCTTCTAACTGGCTGCACTGGGGGTCTGCTGCTGCTGCTGCTGCTGTTGGTTGGCCTTTGCCCTCTCCTTGGCCTCTTGTTGGGCCTTCTTGGAACGTTTCCACTTCATCCTTCGATTCTGGAACCAAATTTTCACCTGCGTTTCGGACAGCATCAGTCCGCTGGCCACCTCGAAACGCTTGGGACGACTCAGATACTTGTTCTGCTTGAATTGCTTCTCCAATTCTAGGAGCTGTTGGGAGGTGAAGGCAGTGCGGGGTCTCCGGGTCTTGCCCAGAATGGCATGATGCGGATAGGCAGCCAGTTCGGGAATTCGATGGTGCAGCATTCCAGCGCGGGCCAGGAACTCAAATTGCAGCTGTGAGGGCATGAAATTGTGACCCATGGGGATCTGTAAAAGAAAACAATAATAAAAATATTTATTAAATTAAATTACGTAAAATCAGATTAGTTAAGTAAAAATCAGGATTCCATTTTTTACTGCAAATTTCCATATTTTTATCGGTTTTTATCTAAAACTTTCTCAAAATAAAACTCACAGCTAAAATCTTAACTGCTTTGAGTATCTGACGATCCAAACTTACTTTCTCTATCATTGGCTGGCTTATTATTGAAAAATCAATTTTTTGTAAATTTTCACATTTTTCATCATCATCAAAATTTGTGAAGAATTACAAAAATTTAAGTTCTCCAAATTTGAATGCAAACCAATTAGAAATCATGAGAATCTAATAACGAGCTCTACGAGATATGTCATTCCATATTTGCTCCACTTTTGGCTGTGTTATGGCGAAGAAATAACACAAATTAAGTATACGTGTTTTGAGAGCTGAAAGCGCTATGACATCATTTTTTTGGGAAAAATTTCAAAAATGTACTTTTTCAGGTTTGAACACAGTTCGACAGGGAATTCAATTACGAGCTTAACGAGGTATAATATTCCACTTTCCGACCATTTTTGGATTTGCTACAGGCAAATTACTGGTTTTTTGGGACACAAATCGAGACAGACTGATTTTCGCATTCAAAAAATTTTACGAAAAATCTCAAAAAAATTACTTTTTGAGTGTGGTACACAGTTCGACGGGGAATTTAAATACGAACTCAACGAGATATAACATTCCATTATACGATCATCTTTGGCTTAGTAATGAAGAAAATACTGATATTTTGAGACACAAAATCGAGACAGAGCGATTTTCGCATTTTTGGAAAGGGGTAACATCATAAAATTTTACGAAAAATCTGAAAAAAATCACTTTTTGAGTGTGGTACCCAGTTCGACGGGGAATTTAAATACGAACTCAACAAGATATAACATTCCATGATACGATCATCTTTGGCGGTGTAATGAGGAAAATACTGATATTTTGAGACAGAAATCGGGACAAAGCGATTTTCGCATTTTTGGATCATAAAATTTTACGAAAAATCTGAAAAAAATCACTTTTTGAGTGTGGCACCCAGTTCGACGGGGAATTTAAATACGAACTCAACAAGATATAACATTCCATGATACGATCATCTTTGGCGGTGTAATGAGGAAAATACTGATATTTTGAGACAGAAATCGGGACAAAGCGATTTTCGCATTTTTGGAAAGGGGTAACATCATAAAATTTTACGAAAAATCTGAAAAAAATCACTTTTTGAGTGTGGTACATAGTTTGATGGGGAATTTAAATACGAACTCAACGAGATATAACATTTCATATTCCGACCATTTTTGGCTTTGTCATGGACATAATAGTTATTTTTAAAGCAAAAAATCAGAAAAGACCAAATTTCACATTTTTGGTCATTGTGATTTTGATTTATTATGAAGGAACTTTGAAAAGTATTTGTAAGCTATTATTGACTAGTTTATTATAATAAATAAATTAAAATAATAATTACCGGAATAGGTTTGCCAGAAGGATCCAGAGGTCTGTGGAAGGCGGAACCGCCCTGTGCCAGAAGCTGGTAAGGATGTCCGCCCGCATAGAGTGGGAAATCCTGAGGCCTGATAGGGCTATGCGGTGGAATGGGCTTCTTGAACTCATCATGGAAGTCAGACATGCGCATGGACAGATGCTGGGGATGCATGCCGCCATGGGGCTGCTGATCCTCACAACCAGGACTGATGGGCGGACTAGAGCGATGCGATGAACTGGGCGATTCAGATCTGTAATGAAAAATATATATAAAAGTCAATAATGTTATAAGACACCCTTTATTGTGAATTATCTAACGAATCGATGACAATCGAAATTACGCGACACATTTTGAAAACAATTAATATTACCGCCACCCTCTCCTTGTCTAATTTGTTTGCTTTCGTACACAATTCGCACTTGAAATTAGCCAACTCGCACACTTATACCGTCAGACACATGGCGTATACGTAATCTCTCTATGGCTGATGACCAAACTGGAATTGACCAATTGAAGGCTTTTTTCTTGCCATGTTTTCGAGTACCAACAAAGCCGCTCTGGGGCTTCATTGGGGCTTCGTTTTGGCTTTCAGAATGGTTTTTTTTACTGAGTACCTCGATTTTGTTTGGTAGCCAGCCAAGGGATTACGACAAGAAGTTGAGGGATTTTCCACTAAGAGCTGATTTTTTGATTGGAATTGGTTTTAAATTCTGGGTATTAGCAGGGAACTAATGCAAATGAGTAAGGGGTACTGTTTATTTAATTGAGTTGGTTGGAAATTGTTTGATTGACGACACGTTCTGTTGTTAAGAGATTATGAAAATTTATCATTTAGGTTTAGGTATTTCCTTGTAAATGGTACTTCTGTGAGTTAAGCCAAAGTTAAAAGCATTGAATACAAACTTTAAAAAAAGAGTAACAAAATTATTGTAAAACCAAGCTATACTTCTAATCTATAATGTGTAAGGATGAAAGCCTCTCTCCCTCTTTCCCATAAAACCAGTAAGACCCAGAAGATCTCTTAATAAGAAAACTCAACCTGCACATTTTCCTAACTCTTCTAAGATATTTTTATAATTTTCTAATACAAGTTCCTAAAACTAAACTTTTCAAGCCCAAAAATTCCAAAACTCACCTTGACATGCCGTCGGGACTGGGTGAGTCGTACTCCCTGGAATCCCGGATGCGCTGCAGTGCCTCCTGTTCGCTGATTCCACCGGCGGCTGAGGCAGCTGCTTGAGCAGCCGCCGCCGCATTGGAGGCGGTCACAAAGGCATGATTGAGTTCCGCTTGATCGCGGGCATAATGCAGAGCAGCCAGACGATCGTCCACAATTATGGGTTGTGGTTCACCCGTCTGATGCTGACTTTTGGCCAGAAGAGCATCGATGCAAAAGGATTTCTTAGGCTGACTTTGGGCAGGTGGCAGGAGAGTGGTTGTGGCCATGGAGGCTCCACTATGACTTAGGTGATTGCCAGCAGGTTGTGGTGAAACAGGCGGTGGTGCTGGAGCTCCAGATGGTATTGCTGGAGCATTTCCTGGCATCATCAAGGGAAGGCGTGGCAGGGGATAGGCACCCAGAGCGGGATGAGGATGTGGCACATGATGCGGTGGCGGGAAACCCTCAACATATAGACGAGGATGCGGATGTGGCGGTGGTGGACCAGCACCCACCGGCAAGGGAGCCACTAACAGAGGCATCTGTGGATTCTGACCACTATCCGTTTGACTATTATCCTGAACACCACCGGGACTCAGACCCGGAGCGTAGGCGCTAAGTGGTGATCCTGTGGTGGCTGCCGAATGGGTTGGACTGGTAGCCGGTGGACTGGGAGTTATTTGAGATCTGGGCGATAGTGTGGAGTGATTGCTGCCCTGATCGTAGTCCTGGGCAGGTGGCGATGATCTCTGATGGCTGCGCTGGTGATGCAGACTTGTGCTATGGTGCTGGATGTGGCTCAATAGCAATTGCGACGGCATTGAGGTGTTGTTACTGGTGGTGGTCAGCGGCGGAGGAGGCGGCTGTTGCGACACTTGGGCACTGGACATGCTTCACTGTGGTCACTAGAGTTTAGTTTTTATATTATTTATGTTTTATTAGATAATCGAAAAGCACTTTCAAAACACACGTTGGGAAAACGTCTTTTTCGAACGCGTACGCACGCGAGTTATGATTTTCCACGAAGCGGACTCGACGAGCGTTCATTAACGACTGTGCGCTGTTGGAAGCCAAACGTGGTATCATATACGCGATATGGAATGCCAGTTTGAGGCACCACCGGAACAGTCAGCTCTCTCTCTCTCTCTCTCTCTCTCTCTGGCTCACTCTCTCTCTCTCTTTCGGTCTCTCTGTAATAGCCGCTTTCAAGATGGAGTATCTGGCAGTTACCCCTAAGGCAGAACAGAGATAGCCTTATACGATGGGGCGTGGCTTGAATGGCTTAAAATGTCTATGAGTGGGCGGAGTCATGAGCAAAAACAGAGCAGGCAGGGCAGGAGAGCTTGGCAGTACGAAATTTCATATAAATTGTTGGAAAAACGAGGCTATAATTGCCATCATTATGGAGTGTTGAGCAACTAACAAGTTCAACGGCAAAAGACGAAAGAATCTTCATAATGAACTTGAGTGGGGGAGAGGAGAAGGACGTTCTTAATAGATCCGCAAGGGATAGTGGGCGGAAGGGCCAATAGGTTATAGGAAGTCTGGCTGATGATTAGGCCAGCAATTAAGCCACTTGACGACACTCTCTTTTAGCGGGAAACTCAGCTTTAAGCCAGTCATACCATGAAATCGATAATCTCGATAACATTTATTGGATTTTTATAACTTGGTTGACTGTTTAATGCCACCGCCGTAATGCTCGTATAATGCATTCTCTTTACGACCCACGACTCAGCCAGATGAGAAGATTTTAATGTCCTCTTGATGGATTGCTAAGTGGACATGAATGGCTGCCAAGTGGCAGGAGGCAAACGGTTGTAAATGGATTGACAACGGAAGCAAAGGACATCAAATCGAACAGAAATCTAAGTAATACATTAACATAAGTTAACTTGATGCTTAACTAGCTAGTAAAATAAAGATTTTCTGGCTTTAATATTTAAGTACAAAAACCTTAAATTAAGTAATCTGATCTTTAATAAATGATATTATCTTATAAACTTACTTAAAAGTAGTTAACCCTTTTCTAATTTTAAACCTTTATCCATTGCCAAAGCAAACAGAGACCTAGGCAGCTGGCACAAAGACAAGAAAGTAGAAATGTCCACAGCCCAGAACCCAAACAGAGAAGCTTTTCTCTTATATATACTATATATATAATAATGCAATGTCCAGACAGGAAAAAGAGTTAAGGGCAAACTGTTCGCTAACAAGAAACGTGCCAAAGTGTATTTTCTTTGACCACGTACAAAAATGGAAACCCACTCCCTGTTTTCCCCCAAACTCAAGCTGAAAATGTTTTCCCAAAAACTAACTCAAAATTAGTGCGATGTCTGCAATGACGACTGATTGCTGTTGTTTCTTTTGCTTCTCCCCTTTCCCCTCCCCACAAATCTACAAAGTTTCTATCTGGTTCTTATTTTATTTTCATTATACGATATTTATCTACTCATCCACGTGCATTTAACTAACATTTATGGGTGGTTCTTCTAGGGGGGGAAACTTCGGAACATGACCTGGCAACGGTCCACGCTCGTTTGTTCTGTATGTCTCTGTATGATTTGTGTTATTCCGGAATAGTTTATTTTATATAACAACACAAATATGGGTAGAGAAAAGTAGGGAAAGGAGATGGTATTGAGGGGGAAATTTACATGGTCAGGGAGTATGAGGTATTCGGATTGGGCTTCGGTTTTAGCTTCCATTCTGTTCTGGCTGTTAGCTTTGTTTGCCTGATTTGGTTTTGATTTTACGAAAATGCTTACACAAATATGCAATTAGAGTTTAAATAACAAAGCAGAAGTTTTTAAGCTGTAATTAAGCTACAAAAATTGATAATATATTAAACTTAGACCCCAGTAAGTCTAGAAAAAGTAACCACAAAATCCAAATTCCAATTTCGAAAATGCTCAAATCCCTTTGGCTATTAACAACTTTGAGTAACACTGCCGGAAGTTTCTATAATCGTATGCAATGTTCGAATTGTTCGAAAATAAACAGAGAATGTTCCATCGAAACCACTGGATGGAGTTGTGAATTCGAACTAGATGCCCGAAAGTTGGTTCCAAATTCAAATTCCACCGAAACACCAGAATTTCTTAAGGCTTGCCTGCTATCTGGAATGGGTTTCAAAGGAGAAAGTAAGTTTATTTATAAATTTATAAAACTATAAGCAGTTTTCCATTTTCCAGGGCCAATTATGGGTTATTGTTGTTTTTGGTCACCAGAAATGGGATGTCAAAAGTTGCAGAGAATTGATTCAAATGTGGATTCTGTTAATCATTGTTATGGATGCACTCGTACTACTTGGTCTTCGGTTATGGAAAATAAGACCTGTCCATGTGGCAGTTGGTTTATTGACGTCGAAGATAGTGCAGTAAAGTTTAGGGTTCAGGGTATCGTAGTGTTATGGCTATTATTAAGATTAATATTATATTTTATAAACTAAAAACTTACTTTTTTGAATTATTACAAAAAGAGCAAGCAATACTTATTACATTTCCAACCCTTTTAAAAGAAAAACCCATCAGTAAACCCTACTTAAAAATCAAAAATCACTACAATTTCACCCTTCATAAATTCTGCTCTTGATCGCTGATGAATTTTCTAGCATATTAGGCTAATCAGGCGTTAAATTTGCCAGTTTGCCAGCAAATATCAATAATAGAAATCACCAATAAAAATAAATCGTCACATATGTTGCTGCAATTTAGCCAATGTGGTCAGCGGCACACACATGACTGAAAGAGAGGGCTGCACAGAGGATGAAAGAGACGAGTAATCCCTTTTCCTGAACCTGTGATTTCGCCCTTTTTGCTGTCGTGTTAATTCAGCCGATAAGTGAACAATAATGCCAGGAAAATTTCAACAGATTTTCCAGAGCCTTAGTTAGCTAAGTAAACAGAGCTTGCAAGGTTGGCATAAAAGTGGGTTGTGAAAGGGTCGCTTGATTGAGTTGACTTTGACACTTGCGTTTGGTTATTATTAGGATTGTTAGGAGGGGGAAACCTTTAAAAATCATTTTAAAACAATAACCACAAAACCAAATTTGAAGCAAACCAGCAACCTATAACCCTTCCATCAACCCAGCTTGCTCATTAATCACAAAAAAACAAAAACCCGAAACACACCCAACTGAATTGCAATTGATAATTGAGCAAATATTGATGTGCAAATAATTGGCATTAAATTGCGTTATCAATAAATAATTTTTACATTGCAGCAGCTACAAAGATACACACCAGATACTTCGTTCGGTTGTATCTACAAAGTGCCTGCCATTCCGATTGGCTCATTGTGTTGACAGAGCTGTGGTCACAGAGAGTTCACTATACGAGTGAATGCAAATTATTACTGCACTTTGGTATTTATTATTTGCATTTTTTTTTTCTTTTTATCCATTCACCAACAGCTCTTGGTTTCCTCTTCGTATTTTATCTCGTTTTCTGCAATGTTTTAAGCAAACTGAGGCGGATCAGCCTGGTCTGACCCTAATGATTACCAAATGGTTGCAACAGTCTCTAAGGAGGTCAATTAATATGCTTGTTTTTTGATGATTAAAAGGGGATTTCTTAATCAATTAACCAATGTTTGAGGCTGTGAGGGAATAAATATTAATAAAGTTATGAAGTTCTCTCTTCTCTGAAGTTAAGTAGAAAACCTTTTTGTAAACTTAAATGGCTAAGAAAACGTTTTAAAATTCATATTTTTATCTAAAAAAGTTAAAATATGATAATTAACATTACTTACTTAGGAACTTAAGCTTTCCTTTATTCTTTAAATTATATATTTTAATTTTTAAATTTCCATTAGAAATCAACCAAAGTGCAAAACCAAAAAGAAGCCTCCCGCGAAATCAAATAAATATTTAATAATATGCCGATAATAAAGTTAATTTCATTTATTGACACACAATTTTAATTGATTTTCCGCATTGAGAAAATAACTTTTAAATGTATGCGAAAATGCAGAGAATAACCCCGCCCACAAACTCCGCCCTCCGTTTACCGCTGATAAAGTTTATAATTGAGTTGTGTTTTTTTCATTAAGTGCGGGAATTGATTTGCTTTTGTTATTGGCCAACGCCAGCGTAGCAAACTTATTAAAAACTGATAAACGCAATTTTGTTTTTCCCTTTCTGCTTTGTTTTTTTTTTATTATTTTTAATTGGTATATATAAAATGTAAGAATTATGGGAATCATTAAGGAGATAATACGGGGCCCAGATAATCCTTGGTGTGGGGCTTAGAAAGGAAATTGTTTACTGAACGATTGCAAATTATTATTTTGATTAGGCCCTGGGCTCGAGATATTTTTTGTTTCCGCTGCGTAAATATTGGCATTCCTGTTATAGGGCTTTTTGATAATAATAAACGGTTTTCGGAGGTCATAAATCAAGTTGATAGTGGAGGTGAAACTTAAAGAACTTGTGGCTTAAAGGGTGAAACATTTTTAGTGTCTTACAATTTTTGGTTGGCTTTTTGGGAAAATAATCCATAAGGCCTATGAAGTTGCACTAAAGTTTATAAAAATCCTGAATATTCTAACCTTTTAGATCAATAATTATTATTAAAAAATGATCTCAATAAAAATCAAACTTTTACCGATTAGATATTTTAAAATATTTCCGATTTTCCAGGTTGCCAACTTTATCTTAAAACTCACTCAATCTTAAAGCCACATAAATGCAAGAACCGCGATATCTATATCGGTGTTTATATATATATATATAGCTTCTGTATCTGCATTGGACTGGCTCATTAGCCACAGCGCAAACAAATTTCCAAGCCGTTGCAGACCGAAAAACCCAAGCCAAAACCGAAAACCAAAACCAAGTCGAGAGTTGAGGTGAGGCGAGTGTGTGGAATGTGTGGCACTGTGTTTGCACACAGTTGAGATACATTTAGCTGCCGTTGCGACATCGGAGTTTTTTAACCTCTACCAGGAGTACTTCCTGATATATATATATGTATAAACATATATCGATGGAAGCGCCAGACGATTGGAAGCGAAAGGTAAACGTGCACTTTCCGATAAGAAGGACGCACGAAAATCGCATTTTGATTTGTACTCCGTATTTGATCAGATACTCACGTCGAGATACAGATACAAATACACGGCAGTCCTATTTGCCTGGCAGTTTGTAATTGTTTGCATAAGTGCATTCAATTGCCAGATAATGATATGGCCCTGCTGAGCTATATATATAGAAATATCCTGCTTATGATATCAATTCATTTGTATATAAAAAATATTGTTGTTTTTTTTTCGGCCTATTTACTTTACCTTTTCTTGGTCTTCTTGTTTGCCGCCACATAAATCTACTATCTCCGCTTATCATTTCATATTTTATTTGTTCTCTTTTTTTTTTTTGGGTATATTTTTTAAAGACCCTTTTGAGAGACCCTTCAAATGTCAGTTTTTAATTTCTGCGCTGACGTCTATTATGATGGATTAATTTTCAATTATGAAAGAGTGAAAGAAAATAAAAGGAATCGCTTATCTCTCAGATGGCTTCCATTTCTGGCTTTCTTATCACCTCACTCCATATAGCGCTAATAATCAATTTTCAATTAATTCAAAATCCCTTATCAGCCCAACTGAACACCCCCCACCCCCCCACTTTATTTAGGTTCCCTTGATATTTATGAAGATGGAAAAATTATAAAAATTTGTTTAAAGCCGCTTAAATGGTCGTCACATCACTCGAAAAGTTAAGAATTTTAAGTTCAAACGAAGTGTGCTAATCTAATCGCTAAACGCGGCAGCGATTTAATTTATATAATCAACTTGTTTTCATAATTAAAAAATATTAAAATTGTTTATTGAACACTCACACAGACACACACACACACACATATATACACACAGAGAGATTCGAGCTGATAGGCCATTTGATTGGATTGGCCGCCTGCCCCTTGCCGCTTATCTTGGCCTAATTGAAATTGCATTGAAATTGATTGATTTGCCCATAAACGTCTCTTTCTTTCTAACGTTTCCCCTCTCTCCAACGTTCTTTAGACTCTTTTACTCTCCTCTAATCGTTTTATTCGGTCTGGTTGATTTGTGGTAATCAAAAGAAAAATAATAATACCAAACCAGATGACAGCTCAAGCGGGCAAAGGTTCTTTCTCTCTCTTCGAGGGTTGTAAATCATTTCCAACGAACCCAAAACCGCCTGCCAATTGTAAATTTTATTCTAATGCGTCAGAGCAAGGGTTGGGTTAATCTGGAGAGGTGTGATTGGAGCAATAGAATGCCAAACTTGAGACCGTCTGATGGAAATTTCGGATTTCGGAACTGGGACCTCTTGAATAGAATAGCAACTATTTAGTTTAACTTTTACTTCATAATCAGACTTAATCGATGGTTACTAAATATCTTCTTTATCTGCTCTATTTCAGGGTAACATTAAACCCAAGCATCGTGTGTAGTTTAGGTTTCTATATAACTTTAATAAGGTTGAGAAATATTGAATATTTTTAAAATATTTGTTTTCCAGAAAATTTCCAGAAAACTAAAACTTTTCCTTGCCCAAAGCTATTGTTTTAAGTGATAATCTAACTCTTGATGGCAAAAATCCCCCATCAATCCCCAATCACCACACTCATCCCAAAATGTCACGTACTCCTCGATGAACCTCGCCTACCCTTAGACATTCCCACGTTCTTAATTAGCCGCTTTTGTCATAGACAAATGGCAAATAATAATAAAATGAAAACTAAGCAAATATCAAAAAGTTTTTCAAAAACATTTAGCAATGTCAATAAATCGCGAGAGGCGCCTCAGGGACGAACGACCATGCTGCTCTCATACGTATTAATCTCCATTAAAAGGGAATTTCAATGAATTTATGATGGCGCCATCTAGCTTTCAAATGTCTGCCACACCCCTCTCTCATTGCTCTCGACTACCTTACTTACGCATTGCGTATTTAACATTCGCCAAAAACGAAATAATTCAAAAGCAAACAAAAATTCCCAAAAAAAAAAAAAAAAAATCAGACGACAATTGTATACCTTGGATTCCACTCCCTGAGCTGCCCCCCTCCGCCCTCTAAAAATCATCATCAGCGTCTTCGTCGTCGGCGAGCCGGGTAAACATTTTAAGCTGCCAGCCCGAAAAACGCTAATGGGTAAACACAGATGCGGTTAAAGAGACGCCGGAGATTTGAACTTTGCGGAGGAGTCGCGAAGGTGCGAGTGGAGTAAGTTTCCAGCGCGATTTAAAACGCGCCAAATCCTTAAAGGAGGGTTTTAAGTATATAACTTTGAAGGGTTAAAGAGAAGATATCCTGCTTCCTAATCGTTATTCCTTTCTTATTATTATGATAACTTTCGCCCCAAGTCAAAGGAAATTGCTCATCGAACAACACATACATACCTTACGATCAGCTAGCTAATCAGTTTAATTAATTTACGAAGGAAAACTGAAAAACGTGTATTGCACGCGTTTCGAGTGCGTTTTAAACCGCGTTTAACCTGACCCGCCGGGAGTCACGGAAATTGGCTCTTGAACCGAGCAAATCTCTCGATTAGCTGGGCAATCAATTATATGGGGGGATTAATCGGAGAGTTGCCAAGTGCGTTGGAGCCATAAGACGAGGCAGTGGTATTTTTGATTTATCAAAATTTTTAGAACACAACCTCCTTTTTATGGCGACCTTATCAAGATGTATTAAGCTCTAATCATAGACGTTGATTTACCAGGCCAAAAGCAGAACCCGCTACCACCGAACCTTATAAATAAGCCATTACCAAGCCCATCGTATATTAGTAATAACAATTGCCATTTATCAACGATTTTGAAATCGGTCTCTCTCTTGCGCTCCCCTTTGCTATTTATTTGATTTGTTCACCCTGATAAGTCCGAATCGAAATCGGTAGAGATATAGGTACTATATGAGTATAGTTGATGAGGAGAGGGCCTATGACAAATCTCTGGGCACCAAAAACTTGAGTGGCCAATTGCTTCCGTAACTCATATTTTGTCATCGATCCGGGTATTGCGAAATTTCTGGTTAACTTTTTGTGATTCAATTATAATGAAACTGATATTAGTTATACTTTCTGTTCCTTATAGACATGTTGTCACCCCTTCAAATTGATTGTGGCCTCTTGATGATTATGATTATGATACATTTCAAATTACCAGACCCATTGACGTAGGTTAAGTTCTTCCGGTTTGGACAACTCATGTTTTATAATGCCTAAAGATAAATTTACTAAGAAAATATTGTTTAATTGATAGTGAAATCATGAGTGTAATTATGAATGGTAAGTTCGTCAGAAAAAGGTTTCATAGGTGTGTGAGGAAAAATAAGTTACTACTTTGACTTTTCATGATTCCTAACTTCCTAATCCCAACCAAACTAAGTTACCTCTTAGAAGGGTATATCAAACAAAATGGAGTCGAAAAGGGGAAATGGCCAAGAGGAAGCGGCTTCTTTTGGAGTCGTGCAAAGCGTTTTCCCTTCACCTGCAACACCTTTAAAGCCTCCATTACCACTCACCTTAGCGCTGCCCAGGTGAACATAACTCACCACTTGATTTATGCAAATAAGCCACGTTTAATTATGACCATTAGCCACTGTTGAGCGGCTACCGTTTTGAGTCAATAGAGGGAGGCGTTGGCGAGGGGTGGCAAGTAGCACCGCCCCGGGGCTTTTAGTCGGTTTGCATTTCAATTTTGCTTTGTAGTCGTGGTAGGTGATGGGCCAAAAAGGGGGGGAAATGAGTGTGATGGTTTGGTAGAAGTGGTCTGAGACAATGATGCCTGCCTTTAATGAGTTTTATATTGACTGAAGCTATTGACCGAGTTATAACAAGCGGCGATTGAAATCTGTGACTAATATCAAAGGGAATTTGCTAAAAAAGTATAGATAATTACTAAAGAACGATAAACTTATTTTTAAAATAGATTAATAATGACTAACTTTAACAAATAATATGGCTTCTTAAAGGGTAACCATATCTATATTGTTTTTCATTCTTTTTCGAAAATCCTCAACATGCGCTGGTCTGAGATTGTGTAAAAAATCGGTGGTCTTAATTTACAACTAATTGTCATATGACCAACTAGTTATGGCAATCAGTTGGACTTAGTTATATGGCCTGCGGTTTCCGATACCATATAAGACTATATATATTAAATCAGTGGGATTTGTATGACAGTCTGACCATGGCGATAGAGTCAACTTTGCGCCGTCTAATTGCATGCTAACTGTACTTAAATATCTTTATAATTGACGCCACAGTGGGTGTCGTAAAAAGCACGTACCGCCATGGTCCGCGTAATACTAGTAGGTCTAGTATTTGAGAAGGCCTTACGATTGGAGACACTCTCTCCCCTCCCAATCAGACCCGCACTCAACCACCACCCCACACATCCCAACCACCCACAATAAAAAGTATTTATGTTATTTGTCAAGTTTATCGCAAACAGTTTGAGAAGGGTGTGCGGGGGTGGGGTGCTGTTAGGAATCGCTGGGGCCTAATTAAACCATGAGCTTTATCGTCTTGTAAAGATCGAAATTATTGCCACCGTTCCTGCGGCTATGCTTTTTTTTACGACCCTCATTTTCCAACACCAGTAGCCCCATATAATCGTCCCTCCATATATATATATATATATATATATAATATGTATGGTTTTCCACTATATATATACATGATCAGGGAATATATATGAAAGTCTTACAGATTGCTTGTTGTATTTTCTGTCTTTTGATTTGTTGATTTTGATAACTGCATTTTGTTGGGGTCCCAATAAAATTTATTGTGTTTTTATTGGCCTGCACAGTGGAACCTTAGAGAAATGTAAAAAGAAGATCTTTAACTCTTTAAAATTTTTACTTTGGTCTTGGTAGATATGAATTAGAAAATTCATCTAATTTTAAGACCCGTTCCTCAGAAATTTCGAAGCGTTGAAGCTGAGCCGCCTAAAGTGATTGTGATTGCACTGCAATGCGCAAGGCAAACAAAGCCCAACCAAGACAGAGAGGCATATTCAAAAAGCACCAAACCGGGCAAACACAAACATCCGATGGGTTGGACGGAGGATCTCCATCGATCTCCACCAGCCAACGCCATCACCATCAACCATCAAACAGAAGCCAAATGAGCTTGTCGTTAAGCCAACTATATAGCTGCCGGAAACTGACGGTTTCTTCAATCGAATGACCAAGTGAGTTGAGTCCGCATGAGCTGTAACTGTAGGGCCGGAGGGCTGATCAAAAGGTCCGCTCGAGCGGATCTCTGTGGGTCAAGCAAACGCTTCGTCTTAATCCAAAGTGGCTACTGAGTTGCCTCCCCGTTCAACAGGTAAATCCAAACGCAAACGGAGTGCATTCTGCATTCTGGACAAACACCTTTCGAGCTACCGATATCCCAGTATACCAATGTACCAATGTCCCAATGTCCAATCCGGTATCCATCATCCATTGCCCATCGGTTCCATCAATCTTTCGCGGCGGGCTGCTGTCAATCTCCTGCGGCAAATAAACTCGAGTGCCTCACATGCAAATAATCAATATTTGCTCTCGGATTATTAAGTGAGCCAGCATCCCATTCCGCTGTCCATTTCCATTTCCAGTTCCCATCAGGGGTTCTTCTGTTCTGTTCCTCCTGCTGCTTTCAGGTGGCTTGTTAACTGTTTACTCGGGCTGTTTAATCGCTTTAATGGTTAGGCAATTAAGAGTTCTTCGGAAAACCTCTCTAAATGACAACTACTCCCTCTTCTTTCCTTCAGTTTGGAATTTTTAAATAAATTCCTTTGATATGCTCCGAAAAAACTATTTCTTATCTCATTCGGAGGAAAGAATTCCTTATAAATATGTCAGTTTAGTTAAGATGATAACTTTAAATTATGAATAAGAAAAGTTGTTTAAATATTAAATACCCACTTTCCACAAAAAACATCACTTGATTCCATTGGTTCGTTGTGTTCTACATTATTCCCTTGATTTATTTCACATCTAATCATTTCATGGAAATGTGTACGACCCATTGACTTTTACAATAAATACAAAATCGTATGGTTAACTTTATGAAAAACATTTTGCACCACCGCCGTCCGCAGATGGTATGTATTACGACCCTTGAAAGGACGATTTTATTATCCATCCGCAGATCATTCGTAACGTGTACAGAGCAGACATTTATGAAATGTCGTTTAAAAGCAGGCTAAAAGCAGCTACTCTGATCTCCACATTAGAAACTGGACAGTTTTTTTATGGTGCTTAAAAACTAAATTCAGTTGCGGGTATTAATGGCACACACACACGCACACACCTGACCCGATGAAACAACAACAATTGTGCCTAATTTACATATTATAGTGTCTCTGTGTGCTATGTTTTTGTTGTTGCTTCGAGTCAGAAGTGCCGCCGTGGCCAAAAGTTTGCGTTTTTCTTGGGTTTTATTCCTTGGAGGCCATGTGCCCCACCAGATTACTAGTGATCTTCTCGATTTTTTTCAGATCCGGCATATTTTCCGCTTTGTACTGCACACACTATAGAGTTGTAAAATAATTATAATTGAAAAATGTGTTTCTTTGGTGATAACAAAAATTTGCGACCAAACCTTTACATTGTCCGTCATTTTTAGCAGTATGTGGCCCTTGGAGTGTACGTATTTCATTGTATATCGACAGTTCTGGGGATTCGCCATGTACATATTTTCGGCAGCAATCTCGAAATCTTCCCAATTCTTCACAAAAACCATTTTTAAGGTTGAATTAATGAAAATCCAGGCGAAATTATTAAAAACAACAACATCCACTGGACGGCGTGACGTTGGAGCAATGTGACCGTGCAAAGCAATAAATACTAACTCTCACTATCGATGACCGTATTGCGATAAAAATTGTGAATGGTTCACAAACATCGTAAAATAAAATATCGTATTTTGATATTTTGGCTTCGCAAGACTCACGGTCACACTTACACCCACACATTCGTCGCTGCGCTGCAAAGTGTTCCAATATTTATTGCAAAAATGCTGTGAAAATCCATAAAAACGGTTCATTTGAATGCCAAATCATAGACAACGGATGGCCGCATAGGCGTGGGCAGTGAAATTCGCGAGCTACTTCCCCGAAAATGCAGCAAGAAATAATCGCGAAAAACGATGAAATCTAGTCAATCAAATTTTGTGAATGGACGGGAAAGAGACGGAAGACGGGGAGCAAACGAAAAACGCAAATAAAAAGTGACACGCAGAAAGCACCTAAAGTGCAATATATTTAACTATACTAGAGATTTGTTCAAAATATAAATATAAATAAAAATAATCGAAAAGTTAAGTGTGTGTGTGGTGCGAGTGTGGGAGCCTCACTCTCTCTCTCTCTCTGTCTTTCTCTTCCCCTACTTTGTTGTTGATCTGGTGGGGTTGAAAAGCCATTGCCTGCATAACGGTTAACGCGTGACGTACGACCCAAACAGCAGTCAAGTGCACCACCCTACCCGCCCACACCCTTTACACAAAGTAAGAGAGAGAGATCTTTTGATCCACACAAACGGCATTCATCATGATGGACAACGATGATACCCTGCTCAACAATGGAGGCCCACAGTCTGGGGCAGAAACAGTCTATGGAACTGAGGACAACAACATGGTCATGTCGGAGAAGGTAATTGTCCATCCACAAAAGCCCCCGTTCATTGGTTTTCTGTTCTGACTAAATAGTTAAAATAACCAGATCACTTGGAAGGGGATACTATAAGATCAGCTCTTTATATCACGATTCTAAGGGACATTTCTAGTTTAGGAACCACCATATGTCAGTTAAAGATAAACTACTTGGTAATGGAAAATATAAGATAGATTCCAGATTCTCAATATTATCTTAACTTCTATTTAATAATTATGAGGAAACACCCATTTCTCATGGATATTTAGTAAGAATAACCAAAAACATTGACTAATACTGATTCATACGGGCGTTTCTGATACTCCCTTAAATTTGATAAAGTCCAGTATGTAGGTTTAATCTGTTCCTGGGCCTTTGCTCCTTAACATCCACATTTAAACCTACTCATATCATCCAAAGAAACACACACACGAGATAATGAGGCTATAAAAGTGTCCCAAGCGGAAATACAATCGCAGAAATATGCTTTCTTTGCTCATCGCTGTTTCTCTCTCATTTTATATATACACTTAATTATGTAAAAACGCATCCAACAATTGTTTATTATGCATCAGCTGACTTCTCTGGTCATTGACATTCAAACTGGCGAAAATTTCAAGTAAAAATGTATAGAAAAATAGAGTTAGAGAGAGAGAAAAGGGCAAAAGAGGGTAAAATGCCGGGGAACAGAAATCAATAAAGTCAGTCAGTCGGCCCTCAAATTTTATGACCACCTCACGCAATCTTATGCAGAGACAGAAAATGTTGACAGTAACTGGAGTGATTTTTGTAGATAAAATAAAAGGGAAGTTGTTTTTTTCGATGCTTAACAACTTTTAAACACAAATGATTCATATCTTAATTTACTGAAATGATCTAATAAGTACGAGAGAACAGAAAATTGAACTATACAAAATAGAGAAGGTTTCCTTATTTTAATTTCCTATAAAATCATATCTTTACAATCTCAAAGGAGTATATTCGATTTTTATAACCAATAATAATTTCATGTTCCTGCCAGTGTAGCCTCTTCCTTATTCGATTTCCCCCATCTCTGCAGTGTAGTTTATTTTTATTTTTCACCCCAATTCCCCGATTGATTTTGCACTTTATCAGCTTCGCCAGCTTTAATCGGGGTATGCAAATTAAATCAGAGGGGCTCTCCCCTCACATTTTTACACTCATATAGGTGTTATTTCCTTCCCCTGGCAAATGAGCTCATCAGGTTCCCCGATTCTTGGTTCTTTGAGCACATGTATCGCTGATAAGCTACCTGTTAATTGAGTAATGAGTTCGTAGCTATTTCAAGAGGGAAGCATTGCTAGCACACCGATGAAAACTTGTTTCTTGGCCTAACGACCGTAGAAACTATTTGTGAAACAAGTATGGCCAAAAAATGTTTGAATACTGAAGCTAGTTGGCCTTATAAGTGTGCCCAACCTTGGGCGGATGACGGGTTTTTCAGAGAAGGGAGTTGGCGTGCAATGGAAATGCCATGAAACCCTATGTGTATTAAAATTAAAAAGCTCAGCCCAGAATATAAATCATACCAAATGTTTATGAAAAAACAAAACAAAACTTCCTTTTTAATTTAAAAATTTACCAAAACAAGCGGAAGAGCATGATTTTTCTTATGATATACTTTTTTAACATTCATTCATTGTTTTTATTTTTTGACACATTTATCGTAAATAATTTGCACACGTTTTACACATTCATCATGCACTTATTTATATTTTCACATTATGGGTTTAATTTCGAAATTTTCATTTAAAAAATTTGTTAAAATTTTGTTTTTTATGTGTCCTTTACACCTTGTTTTTGTTCTTTTCTTTCTCTTTCAGAATGAACAGGTTGTCAGCATCGTGAGTTATCCAAATTTTTCGTTTGTGGTCTATTTAATTATTTTCCTATAATCTTTTTGTTGTTATTCACAATTTGTTATAAAACTGCACGATATATAATTGTTTTAACCATTTTCTTAAGTACCACATTACACGGTTTGCCAATGTTATTGCAATTTTTTAGTTGTTTACTAACAATATAAGGCTGAGAAGGCGTCAACCTTAACCTTTCTCGGTTTTATCATTTAGCGAGAATAATCACGTTTCCTACTTTTATTTTATAACCAAATGCATGACTGGAGACTTTTTATCATATTACTAGAAATTTTCATTCATAAAAGCCGCGGCCACAAACCTCACTTATGTTAAAAGATTTAATTAAGTCATAAAATGGGAGTTCCTATATATCTTCTTCCTCTCTCCGTTTGTGTTTTGTTTTGTATTTTAACGAAGGTAACTTCTGAATACCCTTGGAAATTAAAAATTATACTTTTGCAAGGGTTTTTTGAAGTTGCTTCCTGTTCTACTTGCTACTCTACTAATCAATTGCACTTTGTTGTCCCTTTTGACTTGCCAAAAATCAAAGCTATATCGACTGATGCACATCCTCTTGCAGGTCCAACAACTGGCTGGTAGCATTTATCAGGAGTTCGAGCGGATGATCAATCGTTATGACGAGGATGTAGTGAAGAACCTGATGCCGTTGCTGGTGAACGTGCTGGAGTGCCTAGATGCCTCCTATCGCATCAATCAGGAGCAGGACGTCGAGGTGGAGCTGCTGCGCGAGGACAACGAGCAGCTGGTGACACAGTATGAGCGGGAAAAGAGTGCCCGCAAACAGTCCGAACAGAAGGTAAGTAAATTAAGAATATGTTAAAGGAATCAAATTAAATAAAATTGTGCTTTGATAGCTATTGGAAGCCGAGGACTTGGCCGAGCAGGAGAACAAAGAGCTGGCTACTCGCTTAGAATCGGTGGAAAGCATTGTGCGGATGCTGGAGCTGAAGCACAAAAACAGTCTAGAGCACGCCAGTCGCTTGGAGGAGAGGGAAGCGGACCTCAAGAAGGTTGGCACTAACAATTTTATAGTTCTAGTATTACAAATTTCCTTGATTAACCCAATGTTTATAATCTAAATGCTTTTAGGAGTACAACAAACTTCACGAGCGGTACACTGAGCTGTTTAAGAATCATGTGGACTACATGGAACGCACTAAGATGCTGATGGGCTCGACGCACTCCCAAATGAGCACCGCCTCAGATCGCATGGATGTTAGTCGAGCGAGATTGAATCCGGTGGCTCGCAGCTCGGGACCCGTTTCCTATGGATTTGCTTCGCTGGAGAATTCCGTGATGTTAGACACCGAAACCATTTGCAGTGTGGGCAGCCAGTCGGATGACTCGGGACCGCCGTCTCTGCAGAACGAGCTGGACAATTTGGGAACAGTGGAACGTGGAGCTGCCACCGATGCACTGCAGCAGCAACACCAGGCCACCTCACCCCAAAGTCCAGACAGTAGTCCAGTTGTGCCAAATGTGCCCACAAATGGTATGTTCAGGGGTCTCGACGACCATATTCCTTTACTTACTACTGAACCGCTTACCATACTAATGTTTCCTCTCTTCTTTTGATTTTTGTGTTAACTCAACTAAACAAAAACAAAACACCGAAACTTCGAACAACCCAATCCAAATTCCCCATCCCAGTTGGTCGTTCGACCACCAAAAAGGAGCAGCGCTCAGATAACAATCTCTACCAAGAGCTGTCCTTCCAGGACAATGAGGAGAGCGAAGAGAATGAGATTGTCACAGGTGAGATGTCCGGGAAATGGTTTTGGGACTACTATTTGCACCTTAAATGTTGCTAAATGAATGTGTCTAAGTGAATGGCAAAATGTGAAAGTCAGCCATATACCTAGACATCTGAAAACCAACTCAAACATGCTATACTCAATGCCAATATCCTTTTTCTTCCTTTTTGTTTTGCAATCCTGTGCACTAAAAAAAAAAACAAAACAACACAACATTGCAACACACTCCTGGAACTGAACTCCTTGTGACTTAACCCTATAGGCAGCTGGGTTCATCCCGGGGAGTATGCGTCCTCAGGTAGGTACCACTCAACCAATCAACACCATCAGCCACAGCAGCAAGAGCAAAGACAATTACAAGAAACTCAGCCACAAACACCATATAATTCCTACATATATGGATTCATCTATATAACCTGTAAATACATCAAATATCATGCAAGATTCGACTGAAAAGTCTACAAAAAAAAGAGATGAGATTTTAAGGATCTTAACTAGTTTTGTGTATGTGCATTACCCTTGTGATATCTGTTGGAAATTATGAGCTCGAAAGTGTGTCAGCCTGCTAAAGAGCATTAGCAAATTAGAAAAAAAAAATTATTTCAAATTTAGAACAACAAATAAAACATTTTAACAATACATCTAATGAAATTTCTCTTTCTTTTATGCCGAATTCTACTTGCCCAAATCAAAACCATTTCGTTTCCTTCCACACCAAAACAAAAAACAAAACAATTTCTCTTCCAAAAACTAAACACAATCCACAATCAACTATATTTGCATTGTATTGATCCTTTGAAGCTAACGACAACTATTTTGGTAAGTCTAAAGTGCTCTAAAAATACCCTCATAAGTAGCACCCAACTATTGTAATCATAGTTATTTTCTCATTCTCGTAAGTAGTTTTCCCAAATCGCAAGCATCGCTTTAAAATAATCTTCTTTTTACCTTGGTATTTATGTTGACTTAGAACATCCTCCAGTTGGATTTTGCCATAGCATTTGGTTTTAGTTTAGTTTCTCCATTATTATTTGATTTATTTCCTGATATGGTTTTGGGTTCTTCTTCGTATTTAGATGGTTGCATTACGTGGAGGATGATGGCATTTGACATTTGGATTTATTTCATTTGTAGCTTCTATCAGTTAACACTTAATCGAAATCCACATATTCCAAATAACAAACACTTTCAGTTCCACTTCCTTTACATAACGCTTTTGATCTTGTTTTGTCAATAAATCCATCAGCAATTTAAGATTAATAATTAAGCTCTCAATCACTTTTCAGGCATGGGCAAGGAGGTTGAAAATCTTATCATGGAAAACAATGAGCTGCTGGCCACCAAGTAAGTGTCACTGATGATGTCCCCAAAAGGGAATCAATGAGCAAAAATCAATTGTAACTCATTCTATCTACCCCTTTACAGAAATGCGCTCAATATTGTCAAGGACGATTTGATTGTAAAAGTAGATGAGCTCACTGGAGAGGTTGAAATTGTTCGCGAGGAGCTCAATGCCATGCAGCAGTCGCGGACCAAGTTGAGGCAGCGTATCAGTGAGCTTGAAGATGAGCTGAAAAAGGCTAAGGAGCAAGTCAAGCAGCAAAGTGAGTTTTATCAGCTTTTGCTAGAGATTCTTAAATAATAATTGTCGGCCTTCCTATTCCTATGTTAGACACTGAACAAGAGGAGAACGATGTCCCATTGGCCCAGCGCAAGAGATTCACCCGCGTAGAGATGGCCATGGTGCTAATGGAGCGTAACCAGTACAAGGAACGCTTGATGGAGTTGCAGGAGGCAGTGCGCCTCACAGAAATTCTTAGAGCCTCCCGTACTGTAGATAATTTGGACAGGAAGTCAAAGCAGAGCATTTGGAAGTACTTTAGTAATCTTTTTACGTGAGTATAACGAAAAAGCTTTTTAGAAATCTTTGTATTAATAATTTTACCTTACTATATAAACAGCCCCTCCAACCGCCCAACGGAACGCGTTGCGGACGGTCTCGGAGGGGGGCCGATGTTTCGTCACACCGGCGGAGGAAGCCCTGCCCATAGCCACGGATCCCCCAGCCGAGGAAGTGGAGGTGGGGACAATCGCCTGGCCCTAACCAGCGGCCAGCCACCTGTGCATCCGGCCAGTGCTGGTCTTGCCAACGCCCTCATCATGCCGAAGGATTATGCCGAAGAGGGTACATCCGAGAGGATAAGTGCGAGGAGGCGAGAGCAATACCGTCAGCTACGCGCACATGTCCAAAAGGAGGATGGGCGGTTGCACGCCTACGGTTGGAGTCTGCCGATAAATAAAGCCAGCCAAGAAGCGAATCCTAACCGTCATTCGGGAGGTGTCCCCGTTCCCGTTTACTGTAATCCATTGGCAGAGGCCTCTCCCCATATGAAAGTGTTCTGTGCGGCGGGAGTCAATCTGCACGGTGGCTTCACAAAGAATGGGCAATCACTGATACCTGCCAACTCACCATATGCTCCGAAATCCACGCTCAAAATAGCTGAAATTACCAGTCCTACGGCGGATCAGAGCATGGAGGCGTTGGACAGGCAAATGGCAAGAGTTAGCCTGGAGATGCTGGAGCCGGAGACGCAACTTAGTTCGTTCGTTTGGATCTGCACAAGTACCCATGCTGCCAGTACGGTCAGTGTGGTGGATGCCAATCAATCGGCAACCGTTCTGGATGCCTTTCCCATCTGCGCATCGCATTTACTCTGCATTGCGTCCGTCCAAGGAGCAATGGAGAGTGATTATGCTCTGCTGGAGCAATCGGAAGTGGTAAAGGCGGGTGAAATGCTGCAAAGACCGGGCGAAGGTGCAGAGTTACTCGGCAAAGTAGAGTTTATTCGAGTTAAACCAAAGTCTGACGATGAGCAGAACAGTAATGCTAAGCAGCAACAGGAAGAGGAGGAGGCCAAGGAAGCAACAGAGAAGTCCAACGAGCAGTTGCCGGCGGTAAATGCTGAAGAGCCTCTTGGCAATGTGGAGGCCATCAAGATACGCCAGGCACTGCCAGGAGCACCGCAGCGACTATCCACGGATAGTAACCAGACAAACAACAACAATAACACAAGCAGCAATCTTCTTTATGCCACCAAATCACTGAATCCCATACTGGACACTAAGGATCGCGATGAACCATCGATGAGCTCGGTGGGTCCCACTATGTGGCTCGGCGCCCAAGATGGATGGCTTTACGTGCACAGCAGCGTAGGAAGGTGGCACGAGTGCCTGCACCGAGTTCTCCTGCCGGACGCTGTGCTGGCGATTGTTCATGTAGAGTCGAGGGTCGTTGTGGCTTTGGCCAATGCTCAGTTAGCCGTGTTTCGCCGCCAGACAGACGGCCAATGGGATCTGAATAGCTATCACCTGGTGACGCTCGGTGATCGCAACCATTCGATACGTTGCCTCTGTGTGGCAGGCGAGCGCATTTGGGCGGCGCACCGCAACAAGATATTTATCGTTGATCCCGTATCGCTCAACATTGTGCATTCGCTGGACGCGCATCCGCGCAAGGAGAGCCAGGTGCGCCAAATGGCGGCCACTGGAGCTGGTGTCTGGGTATCTATCAGGTATGTTTTTCTACCATTCACTCGCGTTCTTATAACTATATGGATTTTTATAATTTGTAGACTGGACTCCACGTTGCGGCTGTATAATACGCACACATTCGAGCACAAGCAGGACGTGGACATTGAGCCGTATGTGTCAAAAATGCTTGGCACCGGAAAGCTGGGCTTTAGCTTCGTCCGAATCACTGCACTGATGGTGTCCTGCAATCGTCTGTGGATCGGCACCAGCAATGGCGTGATTATTTCAGTGCCACTTGCCGAAGTGCAGCCAAAGTCGTCATGTAAGTCATGTAAATTATATCTTTTGGAAGTACTAAATTAACTGATTACCTTGACAGCCGATCCACATGGTCAGATGCCGCTCTGCTGTATGGCTAATGCTCAACTCTCCTTCCACGGCCACCGGGATGCAGTTAAGTTCTTCGTTTCGGTGCCCATGCTCCAGCAGCCGAATCTGAATGGCGGACTAACCTTCACTAACAAACGACCCGATATGCTGGTCATGTGCGGCGGCGAGGGTTACATCGATTTTCGCATAAGTAAGTGGTCATCATGTCCGCCGGATGAAACGGATCGGGCAGCGAAGCTCTGAGCCGTGTATAACCATTCCATATTCCATCCCATCTGCAGGACATGATAAGTTCGATGCTAGTGATAATGCAGCGCACTTGATAGTTTGGAAAGTCGATACGTAAGCTTTGATTTCTTTTCATTTTGATTTTGATTTTCGTTTTTTCGCTTTGCTCTTTTAATTTTCTTTATTTAGTTGAATGCTTAGTTTTATTAATTTGTTACTGTCCTTGTTTTGTTTTGTTTGACAATGCGATTTAATTGTGCAATTTCTGCCCCAACCGTAGAACGTTCAATCTGTAGCAGGATGGGATACCAAAAGTGAATCGCAGCATTTCTCTCTGCCGTGACCTGAACTCTGAACTAGACCGCTAAGCAGGTTTACGCAAGTCGTTTTATTATTTAATTCATGTTTTTCCTTTATGTTTCAATCGGCACAAGTTTTCATTCCTACACAGTGCGTTTCTTGGCTGTAAAGACGGTTCAAAATGCCAATACCCTTCGGTCTTTCGGTTCTGAAGCACACTTTTTACTGTCTAAGCACATGACACCTGTCTTTCCTCAGAGAACACTCACAAACTGAAGTGAATTCATTGGTGTACCCGAGTCCCATGTCCAAAACATTATCTGTAAATCATATAACCTGAAAAATATTCCAAAGGGTTAATTAGTTGAATTTGTATTTATTTTTATTTTATAATTTCAAATATTGTTTTATTTTTCGTAACATTATCTGCTTTTACTTACTTAAATTAATATAATTTACTTGCAACAGAAACTAATTATGTATAAATTAGTATTTAACTTTTGCACAGTTCACTAAAACGCTTATTAGAACCTATAAACAAAGACTTCCCAGCTGTATTGTGCCCTGTATAATCTATGTACCTGTAGTTTTGCATTTTAGCACTAAACCATCTTTTACATACGATATTATTGTACAGCTCTAAAGAACTATGAGAGCTAATAAAAATCCATTGAATCTTTACAGATGATAATGACATGGAGAACAGTATTCAACTGGAACCAAATCAAACGATCGAAAATCGAGGAGATAAGAGTTACTTGATTGTGTGGCATGTTAGTCAACGTTAAAACCGATTTATTGGTTTAAGTGCAAATGAATAGTTTTAGCAGTTAAATGATGTATAATCTTATAATACGATGTGTAGCTACACAACTGCAAGCTAACGAAAGGAATACCTTAAACTTTAGTATTTATCTAACCTACCTTAAAAGCTACCACGATGACAAAATGGGTTCTATAAACTAATTTAGTTAAACAATTTTAAAATTTTGGGCCGTGAGGCTACCCCCAATTGTTTCTTATTGCTTCAATTAAACCAAAAAAGAAAAGCAAAGTTATTTGTCAGTGATAGCCGGCTAAATATTTCAAAATATACATATAATAAAGTGTAATAAGATTTAAATTTGTACATTTTATGCTCTACGCTGGCAGCAAGTTATGTATTTTGCATAGACAAAAAAAAAACACCACATTTATATTTAAATATAATTATATTAAAACATAATTAATATAGAAATAAGCGCCTTTTCAATGGAATTTCAGCGTGATTCTTTGTCCAAATATGTAGTAAAATCTTAATTTCTTGTATCCATATTTTGTATTTTATTGTGAAGCGCGACGATGAGCAATTTATGATTAGTTATTTTGTTAAATAATTTTAAAATTTAGTTGAAAAATTTCTTACCCTAACTTCGATTGTTATTCATTTGTTTGTAAGCCTATGTTTTATAATAAATGTAAACTGACCAATATTTATGATTTGTCAAATACCAAATATTGCTTTGATGTTAAAAGGGTTTTTTATTGGCACCGAAGAAGTCAGTAAAAACAAAAGCTTATAAATTATGCATACGTATTAACTTTGGAATTGCTTGTGAGAATATAATGATAAACCAAACTAAATTGGACCAAATTCAACATATATTTACTGTAAATATAGCCCAATCTATTCAAAAAATTATGTGTGAAAAAATGGTTACATGGGCTGAAGAAAGAACCAAAATTTAACACATTGTTCACTTTGCAATTTAAAGTTGCAAAAATCTAAAAAAAAAAAAAAACACAAGTATTTAAGGGGTACTGTTGAAAGTTATTAAAATCATAACATAATCAACATTTATATTCTCATGCGATTTGGCCTCACTAGGCATTGACAGTTCTTGGAACTTTTTTTTCCCTATTTTTTTAAGTCGGGAAATCCCATAAATTTTAAACTTATTTGTTGTTTGTGTTTTAAAAGTTTATTTTTTTGTACAATTTTATTTTTTTAATTTAAAATGTACACAATATGTTAAATCGTTCCAAAAGTTAACTTAGAGTTCGGAATTCCTATTAGTTTTAGGTTTTGGTTTATTCTCCCTTTAATTCCAATTTCTTTAGTTCCAGCTCTGTTTTTTTAATTTCCAGCTCAAGGCTTTTTAGTTTTAAGGCCCCTTCGATTTCCATTACTTTCATTCTATTTTCATGTTCGTGATCCATCGCCTTTAACTCTTTCTGGCCACGCTGCTCAATCTGTATTTTACGTACATAGATCGGTGATTGACCTTTGGAATTCGGGACCGCTTTCAATTATAAATCCTCCCCAAATGCCAAAATTTATGTCGAAGTCATTCATTGCTTGTATTGTCTATAAAATAAGACACTTGGTATTATTACTTATTAGACTTATTTTGTATTGTCTTTTGATATGTGGCTTGATCGAATAGTCGTTTCTTATTTCAGCAGAAAAAAGGCATTTGCCGGGAACCCACCTTTTTTTTTGTGCTCACACAAAAATGTTTGTCAGGAAAGGGACCTTTTTTGTTTTTTTTTTTTTGCTCGCACGAAAATATTTGCCAGGGAAGCGACCTTTTTTTTGTTTATCTACTGTCGGTCGAAAAATTCGGGAAAAATATTAATTCCGCTGACCATCAATGTTTCATCGATAGTTCCCCAGCTCTACCGAAATACTTAAAACGGGGCTTTCGAAGCTTTACTCATACGCTGCAACTGAGCTTTTTTTTTTATGTAAATAACAAATTTCTTAACTTGGCCACACTGCTCCAAATCAGCTGTTACAGGAATTTACTGACTGCTCTTAGCTGCGCGCCACAGATGATAAACATCCGAGTTTATCCACATCAACCTCCATGGCCACTCTGAACGAAACGCTGCGTAGCCACTGGCCCATTTCATTGTTTGGCTTAATACTTTTCGTGGCCGGAAGCACGGTGCTCTATTGGAACGAGGGACGCGCCGTCCACAACATGATGGCTCTGGACGAGGCGCACGCCGACATCTATTCGGTACGGTTCACGGAAGAAGAACAGGAGGTGGGTCTCGAGGGAAGGATCGTCCACCTCTCCGGTCCCATTCTCGTTGGCGAGCCTCTTACAGAACCGGATTATAACATACAATTGCTGGCTGTGAAGCTCCGACGCCGTGTCCAAATGTACCAGTGGGTCGAGGAGACCGTGTAAGTTGACTTAATAGTGTTAGTTCTAACATTGTTTAAGAAAATAATACCTTAGTCTAAAATCTTTCTTGGTTTTTTTTTTTTAGAAAATTGATTCCAATGAATAATTTTTAAAAGATAACTTTTAGGAATAAACAAATTGTTTGCATAAGTATAAGCAAATATTTTAAAATAGGATGAGGAAAAAACGAAAATAGAATTGAAATATCTTTCCTGATTCATTTTCAACAAAACATGTTTTAATTAATTTATTCATTATTCATGCTTAGTAAACAAATTGTTATTACAGTTTTAACAAGCAAAACAGATCTAAATCTTTTATTACAATTTAACCCAACAGCGAGCACAACTTTGGCGAAAGTGTTGGAACGACGCAGGAGGATTCCCGTAGCTATTACTACACGAGGGAATGGCGTGATAAGATTGTGGACTCGCGGAACTTCTACAACCGCTATGGACACACGAATCCCAGCAGCTTTCCCATCGAAAGTCATGTTCAAGTGGCGGATGCCGTCTACATTGGTCGTTATGAATTGGGACCAGAGGTGAAGGACAAGTTTGGTAATTATCAAGAACTCACCTCGGACATTCGGCCGGAAGACACCAGTGTTAAGCTGCATCTAGGAATTTACTATCACACCAATGATGTGTTCAATCCAGAAGTTGGCGACCTAAGACTTCTTTTTAGCTTTGCTGGGATGGAGGGTGAGGAGTACAGTGTAGTGGGCAAACTATCAGGAAACAAATTAGTTCCCTACATTACTTCCCGTGGAGTTCCAGTGCTTTTGGTCTATCCCGGAGGACTTAGTGTCCAGGAAGTATTCCGTTTGGAGGCACGGGCCCAAGTCCTGCACACCTGGTGGTGGCGCTTTGTTGGCTGGCTGCTGATCTTCTTCGGGGTTACCTGCAACACAAAAATTCTGCGACTACTTTGTAAGATTCCAATGTCTTTCTTTGATACTTTTTATATTATTTTTATTTTATTGTATTTTCTGCATCACCAGTTATCCGAGTTCCACTGTTGGTGGCTTTGGCTCCGGATCCTCAGTTTCCGGTGACTGGGAACTTGCTTATCGCCTTCTCGCTGGCCCTGACCATTGCGGCAGTGGCTTGGATTCTTCATCGTCCTGTGATCGGCGCCTGCCTCTTTCTGGCTGGCGCTTCGCCCTACGTCTGGTTCACACGCAGCCTGGTCGACTACCAGCGCCTGGACTGATCCATTACAGCATCATATCGTTCTTATTTACAGGTTTATTTATTGTTGATTCTACTTGTTAAGCTAACGTCATGTCATTTGCCATCGGCCAATTAAAACTTAATAACACTTAGTAAATAACCTAAACACTAGAACTCCCTGATGACCGCATTTGTGGTGCTGCCAGGTGTTCCTCCGCCGCCTGCTCCCGCCACATTGGGCTTGGATTCACTGGAGGTGTGTACGCTGGGACTCTGGGATTTGTCTTGTTCCTCGTGCCCGTTTGGTGGTTCCTCGTAACGAACGTAGGGCTCAAAGCTGTTGTTGATTTGCACGGATCCGCGATGCAGATTGTTGGACTCGGCCTCGAAAAGAATTTCGTTGATAAAGCGCTCAGCCAGGAGACGCTGTTCCCGGGGTAATCTTTTGAGTTTGTGCGTCCAAGTGCGGGCAATAGACTCCTCCTCGGGATAAGTGCCCGCCAGATATTCGCAGGCTATGTTCAGCAGGTCGTCGGTGTTGTGGGTGGTTGCGGTGGTTCCTGGACCTCCTCCTGAAGAATTAGGTCCTCCTCCTGAACAGGGTGGTGTTTGTCTGGCTCTCTTGTTGGTCACATAGTCTAAGTGGTTGACTGCCGGCGGTGGGGCTGGAGGTGGTCCAAATGATTTATGGAACATCTCAGAGATATTGGGTGTCTGTCCTCCTGCACGCGGAGCAGGATAATGCAGTACAGCTCCTTGACCCTCCAGAAAAGCACTGGTACAATTGCTTCCCTCGCTGAACGAGAAGGTGGGTTCGTTCTTGAAGGCGGGATTGACGGCCAGAAACTTTTCTGAGTTCCGCAGGAAATCTAGCTCCTGGAATGTCCAGCAGCGGGGACTATGAAGACTACCCGACCTCATTGCACTCTCGACAACCTTGAGTTCCTTTCGGTAATTCGTGCGCAGGGTGTTTATCTTTTTTTTCACATCTTCCACGGTGGCGTCCCTCTTGAGATAATGATATATGGGTACCAGGCGAAGATAAGCCTCAGCCCGCTTTTCCCGATTGGTGTAATCTCGAAGAGAAGTGTCCCACAGCACGGGCAGATCCCTGTAAGTCTGGATGAAGGCGCGCAGGTAGTGTCGGTTCTCCTCTGCACCCGACATCACCTTCAATCCGTGTGGCGGGGTTTGGGGCAGCATTTTTCTCGGATTATCCTCTTCTGATCCTCGTCAGATACGTCCTCGCGTTATCTTCACCACCCAGACCTGCAAATTATGTATGGACCTATTGACCAACTGTCAATGCAGGCGAACTGTTGTTGTTGTAATTGCGCGTTTGACAGATTGTTTGCCATATTGACGTAATGGCTGCGTTTGTGCTTAAGTGTGAGTGTGCGTGACGGTACAGCAACAAGTGCGGACGTAATGGCAACGCTGGTCGTTGCTTAAGATATTTCGGTAGCAGTATTTTATCGATAACACGTTTTTGGTACTTATCCAACACCACTTGAAGGTATTTTTTGGCGCCCACGCTACGGTCACACCACAGCGAAAACGAAAACGAGCCGGACGTGTTTGGCCGTTGAGTTTTGATTTTTAATTCCGACGCGCAGCCGTTGACGCGTGCCTTTGGTGCAATTCGATTAAATTGTTTATCAATTCGTTAGTTCAATTGTTTAAGCAGGTACGCGGAATCGTTAGCAGAGGAGAACAGGCGACGCTGCCTAAATGCGTGCTTGTGTGTGTGCGTGAGGACTTCAGTCTGCGCGCTGCTTTTTAATTGAGTAAATTAAAAGAAAAAACAGAAAAACTATGCTCGCTAAATGCATTAGAACAGCGTCAAGTTAATGAAAATAAATAAACGAATTGAGTACAAACGAATTATTTGTCTCCTTGTGTGTTCGTTTTGAGTGTGTTAGTGTTGGTTTTTGTGCATGTTCCACGAATTATTCGCCTTTAACAAATAACAAGATCCATCGATATGGAGACCATTGAAGAGCAATCAAAATGCGGTGAGTAACGAAGGCTGGAGGCGTGGCAGGTCGAAGTACCCTGCAAATATTTCGTTTTTCAATGTCGGCAAAAAATAGAAGGGTTGCCGAAAATAGGGGGCTGGGCGGGGTGAAACCTCATTCGGGGCCAAAAGATTATCATAAAAAATGTCACTGGCAGCAAGAAACAAAAAAATGTTCACTATAAGTACATGTTTATAGGTATGCGTGTGACTAAGAAAGCAACGGCATCGCGTCGCTGATGTTTCAATCTTTTTTTCTGAATTTATTTCGGTCTAGAAAATATTTATCGCATAAATGCGAAATGCCTGCTTTTCTCTGTTCCTTTTCTTCCCTGTCTGTCTCTTCCTCTCATCGTCGACACTGTACCGAGTAAAACAACAACAAAAACCGGCGGCGCCCTAACTGTAGTGAGAGTAAAAATAAGGATAGACAACAACAACATACATAACTGAGGAGCAGTTCCTGTTATCAGTGATGCCAGCCTAGACTTTTTTAGCCAAGGAATTATATAGCTATTATTGTAAATATTTAATAAATTATTCCCCGAAGTCTTGATCAATTATCATACAAAAGTATCTATATGAATTTTTAAACTAATTTAAAAAACAATCTTAAATTTCCCCATCATAACCGTCAAGTTCTCAAAAATTCTACACAATATTGTATCTAATACAAAGGTTAATGCCTTAATAATACGTGTAAATATGTTGTATGGAAATAATTTTTGCAAGGGGCGGCATAAACAAATAAAATTATCATAAAATGTCTTTTGTGCCGGAATTTGAGGCGCAAATAAAGTATATATCAATAAAAAGTTTATAATTTGGTTAGGTCTTATAATAGCCTTTGATGTTGTTTAGCATTAAAAATGTAGCTACTTTTAAGAAAATTTCCAGATGATATCTATGTATACATTTCCGTCTGCTCGTTTATTTACCTCAGGTAAGAAGGTCTTATCCTTCTTCTTCCGTTCTTCATCTTCTTTTTCTTGCGCAGGATCCTTGATCCTTGGATTCCACTTTTTCCGTTTCTGTTTTTATCGGGTGATTTACCTACCCCGCTAGTCGCCGCCTACCTCCTATTCCTTTTACACATGTTGACAGGCCACACATGCCTATATAACTATGACTATATAGTCCGTATCCCGTGTTTTCCGTCCCTCAATGCTAATGGCATTTTACATGCCCCTCAGACCTTCGGATGTGATCGTTCTCTACGTCAAGGCTTCCGCGGGATACGTAATTTTATTACAAGATTTTTCTTTGATGACTGACTCTGCTGTTTGACAAAATCTGCTACACAGCGAAAAATTAGTTCATTGCCATCTTTCAGTTTTAAGTTTTCGTCTAATTTAGCAATATAATATGTTAAAGATTACAAAAAATATCTATTTGAGATTTAATATTAAAATTTTATATTTACATTTGTGGATATACTTTTATCAGCTACCAATTACGATGTCTTAAAAGTCTTAGATCTAGATCAAAAGTAGGATAATTAAAAATATTTTAAATGTACTTTTATTCCTGTCATAAAAGTTTAGGATGTTCAAAAGGATATTTTGTTCTCTGTATAAACGCCCAAAAACCCACACACAGCCCTCTTCTACCGACGGCTTTTCATTTCTCAGATGCCACTCAATTAGTTTTTCATCATGTTTCTGGCAGGCAGCCAGCGAGGAAAAGCAGAAAATAAAAAAAAAACAGCGATTTTTGCTCAGGCAAAAAGGAAGGAAATTCCCGAATGGTGCAAAATGGTGGCCGTGGCCGCCACCTGTGAGTTTTTGCACTTTTCCCACACTTGGAAATTTTGCTTACCATCCTTATTTTATCTTACCTTTCCTTTTCTTACTTTACCTTGCCCTACCTTCTTACCAACCCAAGAAGTGACCACCTGTGGGTATGCAAAATGCGATTTCAGGGGTTCCCAGGGCCCGTCATGCATTTAGTTATGTTTTAGAGCTCGATCCTTAAGGATCTTCGTGGCAAAATGTTGCACTTACCGCTTGTTCAGTTTAACTTTGGAAACCACTTGGGCAAAAAGAGCAACAAAGTGGCCACGGTTCATCGACAATCCGCCTCGTATTTCACATATGCCGCCACCGAGGAAGTCAAGAAGGCGAAGCTCCGACAGGCAGCCTTGTGTCAGGTGTACGAGGATTTTACAGGTATTTTTGGTAGTCACAGATAAAGCCGGCAGGTACTCGTTTTAAGGGTTGAATATACAAATTCGCAAAAGACAGAATAAAAATATTATTTCAGTGAGAAAGGAAACTTAAGTAGGGTAACTAGATTTTCGTGAATCATCAAGATATTGAAAAACACTTGGAAAAGGTGCAGGAACGGGAAAATTAGTAAGAATTTAAAAATATATAGATATATCACTGATTTTCAAAGGAAAACCTTAAATGTTAGTAGGAATAGATCAAACGATGAACCATTTCACAGAATTAACGGACATAAAAATCATATAGCAGTTCATAAGGAAGCTTCATCATATTAAATGTTGTGAACATTCTTAAATATTTTTATTGTCATAATAAATCTCCTTAAAATGTTGCATTTCCTATTAAAGTTTTTATTAGATTCTTAATACCAAATTGCAGACATATTTCTACCTTATAAACATTTTGTTAGTTCATAAATCCCACCGATTTCCATTAGGTAAATTGCATTGTTTATCGCTTGTTTTTGAGGAATGCATATCTGGAATATCTATTTGAAAATTCCGAAACGTCAGAGAGCAGAATACGACACGAACTGCAGTTCTTCTTCAGCAGTTTTCTCGGACTTTGTTCAATTGCACAAGTGGCGAATGTCTCGCCAGATACATTTACGGATACAAGTGCTGGTATACAGAATATATATATATATATATATATATTTATATAAAGATGCAATTGGCATCGGTTACAGCTGCACAATTCTGGATAAAATTAATGCAACAAAGCCGCCGGCTGTACTCTGGGTCCGTCCTCTTCCATGTATTGTGTCCATGTCGATTGGGGGTAAATGATTTGCACTTGAAAATATTTTCTTGCCCTCTAGTATTTTGCGTTCATTTCTCATTTCGCATATTTTCTACACTCGTTTTGTGGTCGGTGAAAAAGGAAAAACTATGAGAATAATGAAGGTCGCACTTTTCGGCGGCTAAGAAATCGGCACAATTAAAATTGATGTCAACAGCTCGCAATTTGGCTGCTTAATGATCAACAACGCATTGCTGGGGATTTTGCTGGCCAGACCAGACCAGACCAGGCCAGGCCATCATCCTTCATCCTCGATCTTCAAGGGGTTCTATTTTTGTTAGTCGCTCTGCTCTGTTTCTTCGCATTGCTTTGTTTTATTTTGCACAGTTTCCCCTCTATCTCCCTTACCCTGTCTAGTACACTCAATTGCATAAACAAACAAATCCACAAAATAGCCATAAATCAAACAAAAAGCTCCTTTCCAGTTCCCTGTAAACAAAAAGGGAATGAAAGTGTATCGTCTGCTGGGTTTTCAGTTAACACGGATATAGAATTAATTATCTTATGAATAAAATTTGTATTTTATAAGCAATTGTTTAAATTATTTATGCTGGGAAACATTCATAAATCAATAATATTTTAGAATAAATAAAAACGATTTGGGAAAGAAGACCTTGGCCTTGTTAAAAAAATATTTGTTGGGCTTAGGAAAAATATTCATTATCTTTTGGTATTGATAAATTCATATTATTACTAAGAATGTTATAAAGGAATATTTACATATATTTTTAAGTTAAAGTTCTCAACTTTTTAGCTATAGGAAATCCCCCATTCGACCCTTACTTGCATTTATTTGCTTGATTTATGTCTGACATGCACTTAACACCCTACCATGGCTATTCTTAAGTTTTGAGAGCTCACAACAATGCCTGTTTTTGATTTTCTAATTCTTTATTTTTCGATTTATTTCGCCCTCTATAGAGATGTCCATTACAACGCTGCCCACTCGAATCTGTCTGGTTGGAGGCGTTGGTCAGGATGCGGACACGCTGCAGGCAGCCGAATCCTTTGGTCTGCCTATAGTAACATCAGACACTGGTCTGGATATCATTGGAGAGTCGGACTGGCGGACCTTCTATGTGCTCGATGATTTCGAGGGTGCCAGCTTTGAGGCGATACACAAGCAAAAGGAATGGTAAGTACACTACACTAGTCACCGTCACTAATAATAACTTGGCAAAGAAAGAAGGCTGCTTAAATTAGACAAAACGGGTGGGCACAAATCTGTCACATGTGGCCAGCTGTCCGCCTCCTTCTTCTTTCTTTCTATCCTCAACCCACTTTTTTTTGTACTGTGGGAGACGACCTGGGCTAGTCAAGAGCCCATTATCATCGCCTCCATCATCATCATCATCATCATCATCATGCTGAGCTGAAGCAAATTGAGTTTGAAATCGAGACACACGCACGGGGGATAGCATCTCCTCTCCAATTTCCCCTCTGGATCCATTCGTTAGGCCACCATTTCAAAGATTGACAGCGTCAGCCATGAGCCAGAGCTCCTTCTCTGTCTTCTTCCTTCCGATTGTATACCCTTTCTTTAGGGTGTCAGCTATTCTTAAATGTTTAGATTTTCATAAACATTTTGGTTTGTGTTTACAATTCTTTGATTTTGTTGCATTTCTTAGAAGGAAAATTAAACTTTTTTGATATTATCCATAAACTATTTGCAATAGTATCTTATTGATTTCTAACATTCTCATGATCTCGATTTCAAATGGTTTTTTGAAATAAACAATCCGATCTGAATTAGGCTTAATTGCATTTTCAAGGAAGAATGCCAAATGATTACATCTGTTTGTTTTTGTTTATGTAATGAATGTTCCTGATGAACATTTTTAAGTTAACAAGAAATATATATAGATTTTTCTGCTATGGAAAAATGATTATAAAAGTAAATTTATTGTTAAATTTGGAAATTAATGTTCCTCAGACATTTTTCTCTTAATTTAACAATATCATTATGAATATGGTAAGGGTATAACCAACTTCGACTTGTCCCAAAAGTCTGACCATAATTTCTTGCTTGCTACAAATTGTTGTCAAATTTGAAACTTGCGCAAATGTTTGCTCTTCTGCTCAGCTCCTATATATGTGGTTTGGTTCTTGATTTTTTTGCACGCTTGATTAATTTGCCTGCTGCGTAGTAATAGAACCAAATAACATGCACGCTTTTCATGCCACCCCACCCCCCGCAAAAAAAAAACCCAACCTCTGCCCTGTCTCATTAGTGATTAACCATAATTTTGCCATACTTTGGTTAGCATTTATTTACGAGCTTCATATTTTGGAGGTCACCAAATGCGTTTAAGTTGTTATGAATTGGATGGGTTCGGTGGGCGTCTGTTTTTCCGTTTCATGTTTTCCCAACACGCTTTGTGCTTGTAAGAAAACTGCGAAAAAAAAGGGGAAAAGAGAAGCTTTTTCTCTCCTCCATTAAGAATTATTATTTATTTCATAGATTTTCATTCATGTTTCGGTTTGTTTTGTTATTGCAATTTGTATTTGGTTTTCAGCACTCATTTTCCCTGCTTGCCAAATGAGCGGAAAATATAAAACAAATCTGAGGTGTTTTTCTTTCTGCGCTAATTATATTTCATGTTTCACTGGTTTATTTTTATTGTAGTTTTCTTTTCCATCTATAAATTTGATTGTTTTTTTTGAATATAGAAAAACATAAACTGGAATTAAAATTTGGAATTTGTTTATCACTTAGGAAAACCTACGTAGAAAGAATATTTGCAGCCTCCTGAGCTTGTTTATTTTTTAAATAAATATGCACTTTGTGAGTTTGTTTTTGGTCAAGTGACAGGAATAAATCGTGACTGTTTATTAAAATGTTTATACAGTTTGATCATAAAAACTTATCTAAGATATTAAATTAAGGTGCAAAATAGGATTATAGTGTTTTGTTCTTGGTCTTAAAATATAAATGGTTTTGAATCCTTAACTATTAAATAACTATTAGAAATATTTATCGTATCATCTACAGAATAGCTTTTATAGCTGTTAAGAAAACATTCTCTTTCCTATTTATTTTCTAAATCCATTTCCTATTGAATGTAAACTTTTAATTAGTGCTCAAATGCTACCTTTTAATGCACAAAAGCAGTTCGGATTAACATTAAACAAAACTCAATGGGAAACCGAAGAAATTTCAATGAGATCTTCTGAGAAATCCCAGAAAAGTTGAAAGAATGACCGGGGGCACTTTAACGGCCACTTAACCTCGCCCAAAATGATGCCACAAAGATCTTGTTAATCGTTCTTCCCAATATCTGTATATATATATATATACAATCTGATTCATAGGAATGATCCATTCACATAATGGGGGAAGTCGCCAAGCATTTCGTCGTTGCCTATTTAGGGGACGTTGCGAACTGAGCAGGAAAATTAACTTAAAAATAAGCACAATAAAAATTGTCATGCCAAGATTTCGAACATACTATACTATTCTTCCAAAGAAACTGAAAATGAATCGTTTTTGTTTTTATTCAATTTTCACATATTTTTTGCGTGAATTTTCATGTGGGGGGGACTCTACTCTTGGGAAGCCAAATACTCTCTAGTGCCATTGGCCAAGTTTCCACTGAATCAAATTGAGGAGGTGGCATTGCAGCAATCTCTTGGCGCCAAGAATCTATAAGAATTCGTGTATATTCAAATCGGCCGATGTTGTCAAATCAACTCGAAAGTGTTGAAAGAAGCGTTTTGGGGAAAAACGGAAATTCTTTGCCATAAAAAATGAAAAACAAATCGCAAAAAGAAAAAAAATTCAGAATTTATTGAGTCCTCTTCTTTGCTGGTTGCTTTTGTATATATTTAAATATTTATTGTATATATTGTGCTGGCGATGTATATAATTTATAAGTTTTGATATGGCAAATTAATTGAGGCAGAACGGGCAAGAGTCCGCGAACGACATGTCATTGACTGTTCTATAGTTCTGACCCTCGCAAAGTTCGAGTGCCCCGTCAAAGATCGGCGTACTTTACAAAAGACATCGCCACTTTCGTAGAGCTGGCAGACGATCATCCATTGTCGAGGTCAGAACCCCTTCAGATTCCCTCGATTTAAGATTATCCTTATATATATATATTGTTGTTGCCGAGCACGCGCTGCGCATTTTTATGCTTTGACTAAGCAACAGAATTTCCCTGGGTTTTCCTTTGGCTCCCGAACAGCTTTACTTAATTGTTCTTTGGAATTTCATTTCATTTCTCGCAACTGCTCAAATATTTGATTTTCTTTGCCTTTCACCTGTCTCCGTTTGATTTCTTTGTTTACTGTCACCTCTCTTGCAGTCGTTTTCTTTTTTACACACAGAGAAAAATATTTTAGGTTTATTCTAAAAATTAAAAAACATACTTCAAATTATAGAAGTTTATTGGGAAATCAAGGAATTTATTTACTTCTGTAGAAAAACCTTTAATTTTCTATTTAAAAACATCTTCAAGTCTATCATAAAAACTCTCTCTGTAGATCGCAAATTCTCCAATTGAGAGAGAGAGAGAGATGTTTGCACTTCTTATAGGAATATATAGGAGAATATATCACGCCTGTATAGCATTTGCCACTTATGTGCCACATTAAGTGTTGAGGAGAGAACAAGCTGAAGAGTGGGGAAAATTGAGGGAAAAGTGGAGAAAGAAGAAGGCAAAGGAGCCGAGACGAGAGGGTGGACCGCCTGGCATGTCAGGCATTTTCTATTTCCATTTTCCATACGCTCGCCGCCACCGCCGCCTCATCGTTTATTCAATAATTTTCCCAAGCAACGAGGCTGGCAGTTGTGTTTGTTTAGTTGCCCGGATAGAATCATAAACTCTTGTCGCTCGTCGTTTCTTCTCCGGCGCTATATATCTCAACTTGTTCATATTCTGGTCCTCTAAATCAGACCAAAAAAAAAATCGTTCCATTTGCCCGCGACAAATATTTGTTCAAATGTTAGGAAGTCTATGCCTTTGTTAGTAAGGTCAACTGAACCTAACAGCCCAAATGATAATGTGGGTGACATGTGTGTTGAAATGCAAATGTAAAGTGATATGATAGTAGACTCAATAAGACTGAAGAAAGAAGCAGTGAAAGTGAGGGGCAAGCAACAGGAAGTCAACCTGAGAAATGTCTAAGAAAGTGAAAGATCAAGTGAAAATGGAAACAGGGGTGAAAACGACGAAAGGAAGTTGGAAATTGTGAGTGTGAAATAGAAATTTTCTAATAAAAAATCTTTCTATGCTTTAAGTTGACATATTAAAGTCTCTGGAATTTGCAAAGAAATCTTAATAAAAAATCAAATAAAATACATTTTGCTAAGAATAGAATCCTATTTAAAAATACAATTTTGTATCAGAATTGTGTTTTAGCCATGCATATCTCCCCTTAGGGAGGATGAATTCCAATCCCCAGAATCATTCATAAAATTTCACCCAAAATCAAAAGCATTACTCAATGCATTCGCCACAAATTGTTTTCGAATTCCCCATTGGCCATAATTATAATTACGCCTTGATGAGCCACATAAATAAATGTACACATTTTTAAGTATCATAAATACGTTCCCCTTACGCCCACAAAATGTGGCAAACAATGCTCTCGACATGATGTCGGCCTGCAGTCAGCTTCCGCTCGATTGATTTGTTTATAAAAACTTCCGGCTTTTTGCCAGTTGGGCTGGCGGAATGGGCTGGGAATGGGTTGAGGATGGGCTGTGACTACTATCCCCCCTTTAACAGCTGTCGATGTCCGGTATGTTAAACAAAAGAGCCCTTAGTCATGTCAGATGCTTCATTCAGTCAAAGTTCAGCAAAGCGAAAAGTATCGAGGAGAACGCACAATCATTTGTGTCCGGAATGCAATCGGGCAAGGAAGATATAGATACCGATACTGATACCCATACCGATTCGAAATGAATTATGGCAACAAGATGCAACTGCAAATTCAACTAGCAAGGTCATTTGGGGCATAAAAACCAGATTGCCTTGCATAACTCAAAAGTGTGCCACATAAATATTTAATTGCCGCCTCCCTTTATATCACTTGCAGCATTCTGGGACCGCCGGCTTTGAAGTATGCGGCCGAGATGAAACAGACACTGGGCCAGAACTCTCGGCCCATTTACAATTACGCGATGCGCGGCGTGGTCACTTGCTTCACGGGCATACGCAAGAAGGATGAACTGGTGAGTGGCAGCGGCGCCTCCATTTGGGAAGTTTAAACTAAATTTTTGAAAAATTTTACAGACCAAATTGGTTAATCTCATTCACTCGATGGGCGGCTGCATCAAGAAGGACCTGAATACCAAGACCACGCATTTAATTTGCAATCACAGTGGCGGCGAAAAGTACCAGTGAGTTCTATATTTGATATAAAATCTTAAATACCAATCGATAGATTGATATAGAAAAGGTTTTAAAGATCTCCTAGGAACACATCCTCATTAATGCATCTCCCTTTTTAGGTACGCCAAAACCTTCCGATTGACTGTGGTTCGTCCTGCTTGGGTGTTTGCCGCCTGGGAGGATCGTAATTCCCTAGAGTTCGACGCTACGCAGGAGATCTTCACCAAAACGCATCGACTGAAAGCCTTTGAGGGCCAGAAGATTTGCTTTTTTGGATTCCCCGCCGAGGAACATCAGCACATGGTGGATGTACTTTTAGAGAACGGTGGCGTTTGTGCCGAACTTGAGGATCCAGAGTGCTCACATGTCGTGAGTTTGCCATTTATATTACTAAATACGCTAAAATGCAAGCTTTTTGGGTAGTCTTGGAGTTTGTAGTTTTGCATGTTCTTGACTTCTTTATAATTTTGTAAATGAATTTTAGCTGGCTATGTTTTTTTGACCCATAAAAAACCTAATCCGTGTGTCTTCCAGGTGATGCCCAATACGGGCGCAGTATTTACAAGCACTAGCACTAGCACAGATACTAACCCAAGCACCCAAACTAACCCAATTGAAACCCAAAACCCAGGCAGTAGTAGTTCAACGCAGGCGGAAGGGGAAGAGCAGATGCAGGCTGAGGATCTTGAGCGGGCTGAGATTAAAAAGGAAGACCTATCCCATACGGAAACGGATAATGGAATGGCTTTGGATATTGATCAGGAGCAGGATCAAAAAGAAAATCAGGCTATCGAAGATGAAGATGATATACACTTTGACGAACGCCTCTTTGTGGAGGCAGCAGATATAAGACATAACGGCGATGATCAGTTGCCTGAATCGGATGATGAAGACTTGGAGGAGGAACAGAAGCCCAAAATGGAGGTGGAACCAAAGGTAGACGAAGACGAGGAAGATGTCCAGGCCAGCACGCCAAAGACCAGTAAAATAAGAACAAGTTTAAAAGCTGCCACACCTTTAAGTTCACCTGAGATGGATGGCATTGTCTTGGATTTCGAAAGCACTACCCAGAATATTTCACCTATTTTAAAAGCCATTGACGAGTGCGACTTGGAGACAGATGATCTGCCAGCCGCGGAGAATGATCTGAAGCGCAAAAGGGATAGCTTTGACAATGTGTCCCTGATGTCGGTGGATTCCTTTGCCCTGCCAGCGAGCACAAAGAAACCCAAACTCATACGTACAGGCTCCATTTCCAGGACACTCCGGCGATCTGTAAGCTTTGTGGCCGAACCACTAATGAAGACTTTAAGGCCCCGTCGGAGTTCAGTGGCAGATGCCTCGAGTTTCGTTGGAAGCGAGGCAGCTGATAATTCGATTTGCTCTTTGACCTCGTCGATAAATTTAACACTAAACGAGTCTATCAGAAAGCCAGTTAAGGAAAAGCTTCGCAGTTTTTGTGGAAGGATAACAAGAAGCAGCAGTCGTAGAACGGACAGAGGTGTCGATGGTACTCCGGAATGTTCAACCCAACTGGATAGTGGTTTCAAGACACCAAAAGCACCCAAGCTCAGATCAACAGCCACACCGAAAACCGGCAAACGACTCTTTGGCCCCGTCTCCAGCGTTGTTTCCACTTTGACCCTAACTAACCCCTCCACACCCACTCTGAATCCCATCCCGAATCCCAGTTCCACTGTCACTTTGGATGTCAACGATACATCTAGCCAGACATTTGGTTTCTGTGCTGCTGCTGTCGTCACGCCTGCCAAGCCATCATCTTCATCAGCATCATCATCATCATCGGTATCATCTCCCATGTTATCAACTTCGATTGCTGTACATAGCTCGGTGCTAGTAATTAAGTCTCCCGAAGAGTCCACAACGAGGCGTCAGAGCCCCGCCCACATAGAAGAACCCATGGCAATGGTACTTTTGAAATTCTTGAATGTTTTTATAAAGGATCGATCTATTTGAAGGGCAGACTTTGAAACGGCAAAGGATTATGAGTTTGAAAATAAGAAAGTGAAGTTTTTCTTTAATTGGAAGTTTAAAAGTTTAATGTTTCTAGACATATGATCAGAAAGAAGTTCTAACAAGTTCTAAATTCCTTCGCGATCTTACCTAGTCCTGAAAAACTAATCCTTAATCTCATGTAACTAAAATCATTCATTATTATTTTTCATATATTTTTTTGATACATTTTCAGCTTTATTTGATCAAAGAAATCTATAATTCCATGGGACAAATTCTCCTCCATATTTCTATTGCGTTCAATAATCTATGTTCGGGCATTTTTAACATTATTTCAGTTTGCTGTTACGACGCGATTTTCCTCAATTCCTCCATCCATTCGCCCACATCCATCACCCAAGCCGCCCTCCTTCCATCCCAAATGTTTTGTTAATTGTTATTTAATGGTTATGCCGTAGCTTAAGTCACAACTCATATAACATCTAATTTGGTGCGGTGTCTGGAATTTCTTCTGTAAATAACTTTGGTTTCCTATGGTCTCCTCACTACCTTTTTTGTTTTCTGGCCAGCGCACAAAAAAAGAACCAAACAAAGCAGCACAATAAATATTGAAATAACATTTATTTGCACACACACACACACACACACACACACACACACACACACACACACACACACACACACACACACACACACACACACACACACACACCCCAAAGACTTTCGTTCAGCTTGAATAAATGTTAAAAATGCCAACTAGAAAAAACAAAAACAAAAATTGAAACAATAAATGTGGAGAGAGAAGAATAGAATCTAGCACGAGCGATACGTTCGCAAATTTTTGGTTGAATTATTATTATTATTTTCTTGATGGACTAACAAACAAATATTTACACAAATGTTACTCATTTTCTCTTACGGGGCTAAAGAATTTGCATTAATGTTCCATAGCTTCCTTCACACACTTTTGCCTCGTTTCGTTCGCCAAGATCAGATCTTTTTTGTTGCCGTTTCAAAGTGCTGCCAAAAATGTGCACTAAAAATGTTTTGTTTGGCCTTTTTGCATTTGATGAATGTGTTCGAAATTTATTGTGCTTGCTGCTGCTGTGCCGAGCTATCTATATATCTTATATCTATATATACCATCTATATAGACGCTTGATTGACTCCGTTTCGTATAATCTAAATTAGGCAGCAAACAAAACATTTTTATTTGCGATCTCCTAGCACATTTTGCATATCTCTTTTAAACACTGAAAGGTGGATCACCAGAATTAATCGTCATCTTTTTTCTTTCACCGTTCAGGTGGTTGACGAGCACACGACTCTGTCGAAGCCGGAGCCGAAAAATAATCATACGCACATCCTGAAATCAGACTGGTTCTGGTATACCATTCAGAATGGCTATGCCAACGAGATGGACTATCTGTTTGGCGACGTAAGTATAGATCACACTTTAATTAGATTTCCTGCTGAGACTAAAACTTTATTACTTCTATCTACATTTTGTAGTATTTGGATAGCATCACGAATACACCGAATACAGATCGTCGGGATTCGTTACCCATTAGCTTTAACAAGCGGAAACGTAAGCGTTTTTCGCAACGCATCCAACTGGAGGGTACACCTTTGGGTTCTGGCAAGCGACGTTCCTCCGTCTCGGATGCTGGACTTTTGTCAGTGTCAAATAGTTTATTTGACTGTACTACAAGTCCGGATAAACTGGAGTCGGATAAGCTGCTGCATGCCGAGCCGGAGGCTATTGATACCACACCAGCCAAGAAGTCGATGCGCTTTAACCACTTCATGGACTTCTATACCACAGAATCCAATTATGTGGGCATATTGGATACCATCCTGAATGTAGGTTGAATATAGCCTTGGTATTTTCGAAATCATACTAATGTTACCTTTTTGCAGCTCTTTAAAAATAAACTTGAGGAACTGGCCGAAACCAATGACCCGCTGCTTAATAAGTCCGAGATAAAGACAATCTTCGGCAACTTTCTGCCCATCCACGAAGTTCATCAGAGCATGCTGGAGCATCTGCGCAAATTGCATGCCAACTGGCGGGAGGACTGCCTGATTGGCGACATTATTATCCAGCACCGCGATGATTTGATTAAGGCTTATCCGCCATACGTCAACTTCTTCGAGCAGATGAAGGAGCAACTGCAGTATTGCGATCGGGAATATCCCCGTTTCCACGCCTTTCTCAAGATCAATCAGACGAAGCCGGAGTGCGGTCGACAAGGTCTGCAGGATTTGATGATCCGTCCAGTGCAACGATTGCCCAGTATCAGTTTGCTGTTAAATGATATTCTAAAACACACTAATGGTAGTAATGCGGATCATGGACGCTTGGAGGAGGCATTGAAGGCCATTAAACAGGTGACCCTGCACATCAACGAGGACAAAAGGCGAACCGAATCGCGCATGGCCATTTTCGATATATTCAACGATATCGATGGTTGTCCGGCGCACTTAGTTAGTTCCAATCGCAGTTTCATCTTGAAATGCGAGGTTAATGAGCTTTCTGACTCGTTGAGTGGTCGCGGTGATAGCCTGGTCCTGTACCTGTTCTCTGATTCCATTGAGCTCTGCAAGAGGCGTTCGAAGGGTTTCAATACTGCCAAATCGCCAAGCACGGCCAAGACGCATAAGCATCTCAAGCTGATATCGTTAAATACGATACGGTTGGTGATTGATATCTCCGATAGTCCGAGGGCTTTTGGTTTACTCCTGAGGGGCGATAAGGAGAAGCTATATACGTTTACGATCAGCGATGAGGAGACGGATAAGTCGGTCTACGTGAAAAAGTTATGCAACCAGATTGCAGCTCATACGTGCCGAACAGATGCGGTAAGTAGAAAGAAGCCTTCTTAGCTTTATGATCTCAAATTAATGTTATTTTTCTTGTATTCCAGGACAAGCTATTGATTTATCGTACCTCCCAGGAATTGGAGGTGGATATTAGCGATGTGAATGTCAGTACTCTAAGCAAGGCCTTTAAACTGGCGGCTAAGACGCGACTTAAGGTGGGTTTTTAGAAAAGGAAACTTTAAATTAACGTTTCTAACTGAACATTTGTTTTGTATCCTTTAGGTTGGTCGTGCCTTCTCCTTCAACAAAACACCCAACAAGCTGAAACGTGCAGTTTCCACAATGATGACCTCGCCTTTTGGCAGCACCAATTCGCTAACGCCCGCCTCTCAGCTGGCCCAGATGCGTTTGGCCAGCTGCACGAATATAAATGTGAGTACCAAGCTGCAAATTGAAATAATTAGCAACCATACTGATTTTAAATTGTATTATTTTAGGAGGTTGATGATGAGGACTGTGCCAGCATGCGAAGTAGTTCGCCATCAACGCAATCCGAGATGCTAGTAGTGCCGCCACTCTCGGTGCAACCCACGCGGAAAAACAAGGCTGTTGTGGGCCGCATTTAGAGCTGATGATAGAAGACTCCGCCGCAGTCAATTTGTGTATTCCATTTTTGAAGTCTCTTTTTGAAGAGGGACTCGCTATTCCTTGGGCATGAGTGGCCCATGTCCAAGTGCTGATGCTAACTTCGAATTCGTAATCTCACAAAAAAACAAAAAACAACCAGAAACAAATAATCACGCGTCCAATATTGTTTAGATTGTAAAATGTTAAGTTAAGTTGCTATCGATGTGGAGCTCGCGAATGTTGAAGCGTTTGCCTGAGCTATCGATTGACCATGATTAACTTGTAAATAGTTCTCCATCTATATGTACTATATACCGTGCCCGAATAATTGTGTCGCGTCGCTAAATGTAACAAACAAACCTACTCACTAGTCAGTCTGTTTGGACTAGAGATCGCATTCACGCACGCACCGAACGATCGTTTGGAATGGGTTTCGGTCGAATGATCGCCACACCGCAACAAGCTGTGAATGTTTACTGAGTAAATTTTTTAAAAGCCCTATCTTACTATATTGATTAAAGCTCAACGATTTAGCTTGGCTAGGCAATTACGACCCTAAGTCGTAAGGCATTCAAAGCATGATGATGTTTAAGTTAATATATATATATATATCTATGAACAATGATTAAAGAAAGATATTTTAAAATCATTGAATTCTTTTCTTTTTATTAAAAGTAGTCATTATTAAGTGAAAGAAATTTAGTTCTTTAATTTAGTTTTGTTTGACAATTTAGTTTAGGCATTTCCAAGTAATCTCCGTTCATAAACACTAAGCCAATCTCATCATCCACACACACGAATCTGGTGTATAAAAATAAAAATATAATAACGTAGAGAACCCAGTTCAGAGACTGTAAACCGATTTGACGCCCGAACTGATTTTGCACATCGCATCGGAATGAAGTTGATATTGGAGATTATATGCTTGCAATGGCAAAAGCATCTTCAGCTTCTGGCCAATCTCAAGTATGGCCATTTCGTTGCTACCATTGGCAGTCCAAACAGCTAAGGGGAAAAAAGTCTTTAAAGCTAAGGGAATAAGGTAATAGTTTTTGAGGATTCATACAAATCTTGTTGCTCTTGGCGCGTATATTGATCACAGCGCCACAGATCTCGTCTGAGTATTCAAAGATTCTGCCGACCATCATCAGCAATATGTCCAGCCAAATGCGATCCACTTCCACCTTGGCAATTTTGGCAACGTTGACCAGCCAGCGGCCACCCTTGATATTTGCCTCATCCTCCCACATTGGTCTTGGGGAGGAAAAGACTTTAGTAGGCCTCAAAGGAGAGTTAGTAATATTAACCTACTTTATGTCCTTCTTGAACATGGAGTAGTCACATCCAATCTTCAGCTCCATTGGGGTCTTAATTGTATAATATAAGCCCCAAAAAGTCTCCACACTATCGATTGCCGTGATCTCGTTCAACATATCCTTCCAGTGCTTAGAACGATCGTTCTCTAGATACCACAAAGTCCAAACATGCTCCAAAGGATGCTTGTACTCTACATGGTATAGCTCATCATCGAATAGATCTTCGTTATCGGAATCCAGTGGGACAGCTTCATGTTGTTGATGCTTTTGCAGATTCTCTATCTGCTGTCGCTGCTGTTCCTGCTGCTCCATAAAATCAAAACTTTGCACTTGTGCGCTGGCCATTATGTCAGATTTTTCGGTTTTTTTCTTTTTCGCTACCGATTTACTTTAATTTGTATGTCGACCCCAACGGCTGTGGTCTCAACGAATTTAGTCGCGATTCGAGTGGGAATTGCTTACGGATAACCAAAAAATCTTTAGCACATTTTTCCAAGACCTAAACGAAATGTTTTGAAGAAGAAAGAAAATCAAACAATGACAGTTGGACACAATTTGACAATAACTATGTAGCTTACTACGATGGTTATTTACGATATAAATTATTTTTATTCATTTATAAATACTGAAAAACTTAAGAATTATGAAAAATGTACATATTATTAACATAGAAATGCGCGCTTTGTTCTTAAAAAAAAGTAAATGATAAAATATAAGTTTTAAAATTAAACACTCTTTAAAAGTGATGAACTAAACACTAAGCGGAGGCACTAGAGAAAAACGAAACTAAAAATCTACAGGGGTTTATAAAAATTAAATAAAGTTTCAGAACTTATTTTCGAAAGTTAAATCAATGTTGAAAAGTGATTTCGTTAGCAGAATTTTCCACCCATCTAGACCCACAATACGGCGGCTGCATCTTCGTTTGATAAAGTGGAAAAGCGCTGATAGCGATTCGCATTGCGATAGGTTTTCGAGGGCGATGCACTGCTGGAAATCTGAGCTTGAACCTGAACTTGAATTTGAGTCTGATTTTGCATAGGCAATCCCAGCATATTCAAGCCAGATTTCAGGGTGGAATTCCTGCTATCCGTGGACATGGACAAACGTCTTTGATTACCATTCATCAAGGTGGAACTCAAAGGCAAGCCGACATCGTGAAAGGAGCTAATCGAACTGAAGCCACTCTCATCTTCGGTACTAGAACCGCCGCTCTGCTTATTACTGGTGGGTTTGATATTACTATTGCTGATGGCTATGTTGCTGGCGGTGGTCTGGGTCTGGGTCTCCTCGTCCGTTTCCACTTTCGAGGAAGAGGATGCCGTCGAGGAAATGGTGGAATGCACGGAACTGTCGGTGGAGCTGCGCAGCGATAGCCTCGAGTCTCGCATATTGTTGGCCCGCAGAAAGATCAATTCCGCATTGGATTTCCCAGCCGGTGACGCCGGAGACGCCTCCAGAGTGGCATTCATGATGCTGGTGGAATTGTGCAATGGTGGCGTCAGCAATGTCATCACCGAACTGGTTTTTCCCTTGCACAGACGATGATTTCCCGAGGGTAGCGAGGAAATGGAGGCCAACGAGTGACGCGGCTGTGTGAGATCCGGTTGCTGTTCCGACGTGTGCAGCAGATTTCTGATGGTTCTGGCCAATCTGAAAGCCTCCTGGTTTAGCTTCTCCTCGGCAGCCTCCGGAGCTGATAGACGCGCCTTGCAGCCGCCACTGCCTCCGGATTTCTTCGGCGAACGGCGCCTATGTAAGGTAAGGAAATATGATTATTAATTCTGTATAAATTTTCTTTTTAAAATCTCTGCTTACCAGGTAAAATCCTTGAAGGCATTATAGCTTCCAGCTGGTGCAATCGTCTCGTAATTATGCTCCTCATTCATGGCATGCATTGATTTATTCAACATCAAATTGGTACTGCTCCGGGCGCGTAGATATGATGCAGATCCGGCACTCGAGGCGTCATCATCATGAACATCGCTCTGCAGGGAGGTGTTGCCCACGCCATGGACATGATGTAGACTCTTGGAGCGAGCAATCTGTTCACCATTACGATGGGTCTGCTGGAGCTGTTGCTGGACCTGGTAGCGTTCGAAAAAGCGTGCCACCTCCTCCATCACCGCTCGGTACATCTCGCAATTGGTTTCGGTCTGGAAAAGAGGATAAGTTAGTGATTAGTGTTAGGTTTTTGGAACTATTTTGGAAGTAAATCTTTACTCTAACTTTCCATAAACCCATATTTTTCAGATTACACTTTCCCAATAAGCTTTTAAATCAAATATTTTAATGCCATCACTGAAAAATCTACCATAAATCTTTAAATAACCGCTATCGAAACTGACTCTGGCTAACTCATCTTGCATTTTCCCCTCCCAACATCGATAGCTTCGAACCAATATGCCAGGTCATTGCTTTGACACTCTGATAATGCATTTGAACCGATGACTTTAATTTATTATTTATGTTAATTGTAAATGATTTTGCTTGGCAGCAAGCGTTTGTGGAGCAGCTGGCCATCAGCAGCATCATCAGCCTATAAAAACTTTCACTTGATTTGTTATCTGTCGCCTCTCTACTCTCTACATTTCACTAAGCCATTGTGCTGCTGTGGGTCTTTGGGCCATTCCAGCATCTTTTGGTCATGTGGTGTGTCGCTTTTGGTTAACTTCTGTGAGCCAAATTGTCTAATTATCAAATACCATTCGAGTCTATGGCGCTTGCCAAATTGGCAGAGACCTCAAAAAGGCGTTAAGATTCCCGATTGCCATCACCTGGCACACGCCCACCACCTACCAGGCCATTTGAAAATTGTCCAAAACGGGCTGGCTATATATATATATTTGCGGCTTTTTGGAGAGGAGGGCTTCACACGATGCCAAAATAGTTGGTGTCTGGCTGATTATGTAAGTTAGCGATGCAGTTGTTGTTGTTTTTGTTGCTGCTGCTATTGCTATTGCAACGCTTGAAAATTGTTGCTAATTTTTCATTGGACGTTTTTCCGTTTTCGGAGTTTTTCCTACTGCGTGTTAGCAAGAGGTTTTCATACGAATTACGAATTGTTTTCGTGTGTCTGAGATTTATTTGAAAATTATGTGGAAATTGTTTGGTGCCTCTGCTACTCCTCTGCTGCTGCTACTGTATTTGATTTTCGATTTTGTTATGGTTTGTTTAATTTCATTAAGGCCCAAAGTGTTTTTAGCCATTGTCGGGCAATTGGAGCTGAGAGGATTCGCACTTGGAATCCGATTCCGATTCCGATTCCCATACCAATTCCAATACCAATTCCGATTAAGATTCAGATTCGCTTGGCTTAGCGTAGCGCAGCTTCCCCTTCAACGCATTTCCTGGCTGCCACACCGGTTTGTTCAGTTTTCGTATATCTTGGGGGGTACATAAATTAAAAGTGATCCCCACCCATCGACTCCATCCACCAACACTCACAATCAATCAATCAATCTTGGTCCAGGGGTACCCACCCACGCCTTCATAGTTTTTCGATTTCAGTTTATGTTGGCGAAAAACAAAAAGTTTTTTTATGCGGTTTTTCTGCCTTCTTCTAACCCAGTTTTCCCACCTCCCAAACTGTAGAAAATATTTATGTTTTCTTATTTTCTGGTTGCCGTTGCTTTGTTTTCTTTTGCAATTTTCCAAGGCGTTCCAAGACCACGCCGGCTTTCCAAGTCAACTTCATTGGGGCGCTCATTTAAAGCGCATTAAATCGAAATGAAAGCGTAAATATTTTCGCTCTTTCAGCGGCATCCGTTGGCTGATTATGCGTTGCATAGATAGCCATAGAATCGCCTTGAATTGAAAGTGTTCGGAGGAGAGAAACTGACCAGCTTGGATCTCACATCTCACGCTGAAGGTCATCTCATCTCCTTCGGTTTCGAGTTCAAAGTTGGTTTCGGTCAATTGGGAGCAAAGTCTGCTTAGTGAACTGGTCTAGTTTTCGGATTGGGGGGAAAATCACAGCCAAATAGGAGGGAAAACTAGCCATTGAGCAAGAGAAAGGTTAGCTTGCCTTTTGGTGGAAATTTGAAATTTCAATTTTCTTCTTGATGTAGCTCGCTGATAGTCAGTTAGGGATCATCATAAGCCAGTTTTCGTTTAAGAAATATAGCAAAATATTTTTAATCACCTTCTAAAGTGTATTTTAAGGCAGTTTAAGTTAATTCTTATACCTAAAAAATAACTTTTTCTGTAAATTTCTCACCACCTCTTGCAACCTTCGATCACTTCCTCTTCCCCCAACCTCAGCCATATACCTATAATTTGTAAATTCTTCTCAGTTTCTTTAATCAATTCAATCTCAATGAAAGCCTCTCAAATACCTGAAGAATTTTCCTCAATGCCCAAGTCATTTTTATTGATGGGCCAACTTATTATTACACACCATATAGATAGCAATCAGAATTGTTTGATTCAATCTCTGGGCGCTGCTTCTCACTTTTACGGTGAAGTTTTTTAAGAAGGCTGATAACCCGTACCAGCTCCATTAGCAACCTTTCGGTGAGGAAGTATAAAATTAATGCAGCTGTTGGCCGAAAGGAAATGGTCGAAAGACAATGAAAGACACACGATGACCAAAGAACAAAGGCAAATATATATATATACATATATAGAAGTAGTCGGCCGACCACACTGCGAGTCTATAATTAAGCGTCAGAGAGGAATTCTGCCGCCTAATTGCGATGGGGCAAGGCATTTGGCCCTAACTGAGGAGGAACTATGGGGGAAGGAAATGGTGGCTCGATTGGTGCACATGGAAAAAATGAGGTATTAAAGGTAAGTATATGTTATTGAATATATTTTTAACAAAATATATTATAAGTGATCTTAATATTATATCCAAAATGTAGTAAAAGATCGACTTGTTAATGTTTAAGTCGAATTAGGAAGATAATTTGAAAGAATTCACATGAAAACCTAAGGAATTTGTGTTAATTTTGAAGTTTATATCCCTTTTATGTTTGTTTCTTTAATCATGTTAGATATATATCATGTTAATCATGTTATATAACTAATCTTATAAACGAACTAATTCATATCATTTAAAAGTTCTTGAAAAATTCATCTTAGTTATCATCTTAACTCTCAGTGTAACAGAACCCTAACAAGCTAACCCCGTCTAGTTACGGCTTCGTTCCTTACATCTCTCGTACATTTCCATTTCCATTCCGATTCGAGTAAATTAAGCGTGAGAACTATTTAAATAAAAAAAAAAAAAGAATGCTAGCTGGAGACAGGAAAACAGGTTGATCCAAGGAGGGCAACAGAAGTCGGTTGGCCAAAGCAGATCGAGATTGAGATGGGGTTGGGAGTGGGGTTAGCACTTAACATAGTTTCCTCCATAGACGAGAACAGAAATCACAAGTCACGTTTGTGTCTTGAGTCTTTTGTTAAGCTGGGGATTTATTTTTTTTATTTTGTTTTTGTTTTTAAGCTAAGCAAGCTGCCTTTCGCCGGCTCATTTACTCACCTGTTTCAATTGCCAATGCAATGTATCCACCTGATTCTGCAATATGACAGCCTCGACATTTAGTTGATGTTGCTGTTGTTGGTTATGGTGCTGGTGATGATGTGGCTGCAACTGCTGTGGCAAGTCATAGATGTGGTGGCTGGGTGCGGCCAAGATGTTGGAATCCTGCAAATGTTGTCACAAATAAATACATATATGGTTAGAGTTGAAGAAGAAAAAACTGCCTGGAAAAATGCGCGTTAAATTGGCTGAGCACAAAAAAAAAAAACGAAAATTGCAATTTGAAAAATGTTGTCAAAGTGTTGGACAACCACCCAGTGGCTGGCTCGCAGCAGCTCGCATTTAATGCGAAATCAAAAAATCCCAAAAGCGGAAAGGCACTGGTTTTTACACTAGCCAGCACAACCCAACTTGTACAATTAATTAGAGAAAATTATTTATCCTCCTCCTTTTGTTTTTTTTTTATTTATTTATTTTTTTTTTACATTACTCTTTACTAACTCTGACTGCTTGAAGTTGTAAATTTCTGGTATACTTAACATTTTCCACATTTATTAAGGCTTTGGCTATGAGATAGCTGGTCAGGCGCATAACCCGTTTGTCTTTGGCCAAAACCATGTTTTCATATTACTTTGTTTTTAGTTTTGACCATTTTTTATGTTCACGGTTTACTTTTTCTTTTATAACATCATTTTTTCAAAGACTTTGACCCACAACTCGAAAAAATAAATGGAGGAAAATAATAAAAGAAGCACATTATGATGAATTAAGAAAAGTTTTAAAGTCGGGAAAGAGACTTTGAGTCTCTTTTTTACTATTACAAAATATATATATAAACTTTTATAATAGCTACTTTCATTACATTTTTTGGTAGACTTTTTAGGGAAAAACTTACAGGAAAACGTTTAATGAAAGTCCAAAATGAAGTTACAAAGTTTTCGAGCATTGAGTTCAGCTTATCCTTTAGGTAATAGTAGAGGAAAACTCCCCCTCTTAGTTATCACTAAACAAACCATTAATAAGCACTTTAAAAACAGTAAACAAACATCAAACAAAAGAAAAAACCCGAAAAAGACAATTACTCTTGAAGTTGCAACATAAATCACTTGCGGTCTGACCTCCAGTATTTGGACCGACTAATGTTGTAATCTCTTTTAGCCCAATTTCCACGCCCACGCTCACGCCCATTGACCAAAAGACAAATTACCGAAAAAGGTACAAATAAAAAATGGAAAAAATAAAATTATGAATTTTCATCAAATTTGATTGCAAATGTTTGCTTTTCGTTCGCTCGTTGCTGCCACAAACTAAATTATCATTTGCGGTTTTCCAGACTACCACGCCTACCCCTACCCCAACGATGCAGGGAAAACCAAAAATGTGGTCAGCTCAAAACTCAATTTGGTGCAATTTTACGCTTGTTAATTAAGCTTTTTTTCCCCGTTTTTTAGGCTTTGATTTATTGATTATAGGCATAACGGGGGGCTAAAACTGGATTTTGGGGAGGTAGTTTTGGGGGGAAAAGATTGCCCGAAAAAGGAAATAAATAAATAGTAGTTTAAAAACAGATTTAAGAGCGTGCTTATTGGCTATATTAATGCTATTTGTTTAAAATATAAAATCCATAATTATAGTCCAAACGGTCATATAATTTGTAGGCTATTTATTTTTTCATCATTTTTCCGCAATGCAAACGTTAAAGGAAGAACATAAATACGAGTTACCTTTACTTCCGGAAACTAGTTGAATCGCCTTACTAATCCAAAAACCCTCTTCATGTGAGCTAATAACATTTCCATATTAGTTTCCCATTAATCCACTTTTCCATTTTCTGCAAAACTGAACTAATTTTCATATGAGAATATTCCCAGAAATCAAGCACAGGTTTCTTCCTCCTTTCAAATTCCGGAATTACTTTTCAATTTTCTTGTTTTTTTCCATGCATTTTCATTAAGCTTGTGTTAATTAGAAATATCTTTGGATAAGCTAAACATGTTCATTTCCATGGCAATCTTAAGGGAGAAGCAATTACGTAAAGTATAAAAAATTCCAATTCTCATGTAATCAGTTCTTAACTTTGGCTCCAGACTTTGGCCAACATAATTGGTTTCTTGCGAGGCCAAGACTCCCACATTCTCGACTCCAACTAATTTGCATGAGCTGATGGCGGCGGTGGGGGAGTTCAGAATCCAAACGAACTAATTAAAATGCGCGTTACAATTCACAGGCAAACAAACAGGTAGAACAAGAGATAGTTAAGGTCTCTGTAGGAATGGGGAAATAACTATATGCATAGGGAGCTGAGGAAAACTAGATAACCTCATTCCGGAGCCAAGACTTTGGCATCTAAAACTTTTCCGTTTTCTTTGTTGGCAAACAAAATGTCAATGGCAAATGCAATTGCAGTTTTCCAGTTAAGAAATCTTATATATTTACATAGATACCTAGAAACTAAAATGTCTACTTAGAGGAAAAGCCAAGGAAAGGCATTTAATTTGAAAATAAATACAGTGTTGTTCACAGAAGTAGTTACAAAAAAGATAATATTTTAATCTAATCAACACCTTAAACGTTATGATGAAGATGAGCCTAGTAAAAAGATTTTTTATACGATCTGTTTTTTATGACAGATAATATCATGAAGTTTTCTTGTTTTTATGAATTATTTTTCAAATGTTCTTTAATATAACTTTAGTTTATTACTTTCCTTACCCACTGTATCTACCGCTATGAGGTCACACTCTGCACCCTTTGCCCCCAAGCTCATCAATGTGCTATTTATATGTAATGAAATAAAACCGCCGCAACAAGCAGAAGAAATCTGCATTTCAAATAGGCAGCAGCAGCCCCGGCAACAACAGCAAAGGCAGCTAACAATTGCATGCTCCAGTAATCTGCAATTGAAGGAGATAACCAAGGGGGAGTAGGGTAAGGGAGGTGTACCAGCAACAAGTGTGCTAAAAAGGGTTTCCACACACGCAGAAAGAGAGAGAGAGAGAGAGAGGATGGCCAATTCCCAGGCTTCGGCATGGAACTTGGCTCGTCTCCATTACCAACTTCGATGTCGTTGTTATTTAAATTGTTTTGCACTAGAACCAACGATGCAGCGGGTAGGAGGGGAGGCAGACTGCATGTGTGTGGGTGTGGCAAATGGGGGAAAAGGGTCAAATAGCAGTTCACGCTTCGCTGACGAGATCCCCACAATCTCCAACAGATCCGCTTCGGTTTATTTAGCCTGCTCTATGAGATCACAAAATGAAAAAAAATTTCTGACTAAATAACTAAGCCCATTTGGCGGCTCACAATGAAGCTGCAACAATTAAAGTGTTGCAACAGGAAGTGGAAATGAGGGGTTGTATATGTAGCAAGAGGCAGGAAGGCAGACAGGAAAGTGGTTAGAACAAAGAATTATTTAAGTACTATGATTAAAATGTTGTATTAAGGTTTGATTATAATAAGTTCTGGTAGTGGAATTTAAACTACTTCTTAAACTTTTACTTAAAACTTAAAGTTTTCTTCAAGACTCAAAAAACTTTCCAACCAAGGTCTACCCTTTAGACCATAAAAATTGCAAAACCCCTGACTAAGTGCTAGCTAAATAATGTAATTCATCCTCGCAGACCAAAACCCTGACTAATTCGATTAAGGGCTTAAGATTTTGCATTATTTTCCCTTTTTTAGCCATGCCTGGCACACTTTCGGCTTTAAAACTTCAACTTCCCCTTTGTATAATTTTCAAGGCAAACAAAAAGGGAAAATGTAAAGATAAAAATGAGCTTGAAAATATTATGCCATTACAATGAGATGAAGCTGTAATGAGTGGGTGGAAATTAAAGGGAGGGAGGGAGCTGGGGGTCTGTAAATTGCATGGATTTGCTCAGCAATTTGTGAGCTGCTGGCGCTGCATCTATCTCTTGGCCTGTCCCAAATGGAATTCAACTTTGAATGGAGCGAACTTCATCCATACACCAGACAGCCAGCCAGCTAGCCAGCCATATGGATAATTGTCATTATGGTAATGGCCATAAGATCTGCATTTGGCACGACTTTCTCACATGACAAAACCAAAACTAAACACAAAACAATGACAAACTTGAATTGGTTTTTTGTTTGTTGTTTTTCTTGCTGTTGGCAATCCAAAAGATTCGCTGATTGCTGTTTATTATTACGATGGCTTTTGCCAAGGAATTTCTGCGCATTTCTATCGCAGGTTTTAGTTTTTATCATTTTTTTTTCATTTGTTTTCCGTTTTCATTTTCATTTTGTCATTTGCACGGAAATTGGGTTAATTTCAAAACAGCATTTTAGCCGTATCCGACTTCCTCGCACTCGCAGTCGAACATTTGAATGTTGCGTGACGTGTGCCCTCAGCTGGAACTATGTTTTCGATGTTTTCGATCAAAGAAAAAAAATATGAGTAGCTGCTCCGATGTTGTCTTTGATGGACTGCAGATGGCGATGGAGACGTGGATATCTGTCAACGGATTTGACCTTCATTAAGCCCAAGCTTGGCTGATTACCTGCAATGTGCCAAGTGCCTATCGCAGACCATCTTTGACTTACACTTGCAGAAATTGGAGACACATTTCTGATATATTTATTATAAGCAGGAAACTATAACAATTTCTTATAAAATCAGAAAAATGTCGAATCAAATTTGAACTAAATTCGACTATAAACGTATAAACTTTGAAATAAGAAAACGTATTTGTAATCTAATATATTCTCCTATCTTTCAAATACCTGTAAAATTCTTTCTTTATCTCAAATTTCTATCAAATCTATACACCCCCTTTTTCCCAGTGCACAGTCAAAGTCTCTTCCCGTATTTTTAAAAAACAAAACTATTCCAACTATTCCCCGCCAATTGCATTGACAGTGAACCAAAACCAACAATCAGCAATTGCCGACTGGGTTGGCTTTTGTTTGCCTGTTGTGTAAGCTGATTTGGTTTAACCGGGCGGCGGGTTGGTCTTGGTTAAATGTGTTTTAAATGGCCATCTAATGGGGCTCGAACGCAGCCCTTTGTTATGTTTCCTCATTGTTTTTCTCTCTCCCCCTTTCAGGCGCACAGAATCCCCACCTTTTTGGTTTTCCCAGTTTTAATCATTCACCTGCCTTCCTCTTTGTGTGTGGGCGTTGGCTGACACGCCCCTTCTTTGTTG